CTGTCAGTTATATAAGAGCCATATATGATATGAATATTGTTGCTATCAATATCGATCAGTAGCTGTGTAACAGTTAATATTCATATTGAGCGATGCAAAAAAGTGACCATCATATATATTTCACAAGCCTTCAACAAACAAAACGAAGGTTGTCACATTCTAACCGGTTTTTACTTGTCAAGAGATAATATTCTACGGAGGACGAAGAGTATATGATGTCATATTACAAGTAAACCGTCTTCTATTTGACGGCGTCTCTTCTTCATCCATTCTATATGCGATGAGAACAATTTGGCAAATGTGTACATTGAAATTAAATACGATACTGTGAGCAACAAAACTAGTAAGGCATAATGTGATGATTCTGGTACTCGCTGCAGGAGTGATTTCGAACAAAACAGAGAACTGTATTTATTCTTAGTGACATGAGAATGCATAAATTACTGAAGTCTATGAATCGCTTGTTACATGTTAAACGACACCAGAATGAATCATTCATTTTACTCACGAAGTGAATGATGATGTTACAGAAACAAATGTGATATACGTGGAACTGTGGGGAAATGTTTGGTAGGCGTGTTAAATCTCAGTCAGGATTACACAACACAGAAATTTACTGAAATGACTAGGTCGGATTTGATGTAGGTGAATTCCAGACTGTGCACTGACTGGATGGCAACACACTACTGTATCTGTGAAATAAGTTGTTTTTATTTTGGAATGTGATCCACGTGTAACCAACCCATGGAATGGAGTATACAAATCACTCAAGTATTTTGCTCCTACATTCTGTTCTCTGGCTTAATCTCTTCAATCAGCTGGTGATGATAATGTTGATCCAGTGAGAAGTCAGTGCACCAAACAAGTCACAGTGAGGGGATTTGAAATGATTAATTCCATCAGTGAAACTGCATATAGTTCACGACTACTTATTGAGAGATAAGTAATGGAATATGCCAAGACAGGGTTAGGTAAGTGGAAATTGGTTCATTGTCTCATTGTATGACAAATTGATAGTAACATATATGTATATAGACAGGACACTCAGTTTAAAAGGGCCTTCGGCAGCATGAGGAACGAGAACAGGGGCATACGCTGTTTGACCGACAAAAAGACCCTAGAAGATTTGGATATAGCCGATGATGACTTATGTCTGTAGCCTTATGTCGCACAAACTCGAAGTTCTACAGGCGAATAGCAACAGGTTGGCAGAAGAGGCAGGGAAGTGAAGACGGGACTTCAAGTGGTCACAGAGAAGACAGAAGTGATGCGGATAACCAACCAACAACAATAAGCACGAATCACCATGAACCAGAGAAATCTAAAGGAAGTTGTCTCTTTCACCTAGCAGCCTGGGCAGCGTGGTTTCAACTCCTGGCGGTACGTGCACAGATGAGGATGTCGGAGTGAGTATCGGAAAGGCGGCAGGACAGGCCTTCCCGCAACAATCTGAAATCTGTGTGATCTACTGCACTCAGCATAAAGCTTGATCAAGATCCGGATATTCAACACTAATCCAGTCAGTTCAGTACTTCTGTGTGATGGTTGATGTGTTACAAAAAGTATTTCCAACAAACTTCAGATATAGATGAACAGCTGGTGCCTACACTCACTCGATACTGAAGATCAGGTCAGAAGGCCAGAATAACAAGAATAAGCAACAAGGAACTCACTCTGGCTGGCAACGAAGCAACTAACCAACCAAGAACCTATCACCTAACAGATATGCGTAAGACGAAAGTGAAGATGGATTGGATTGAGCATACACTGAGAAGACCATTTGGGGACATCATGTGTTAGGGTAGAGCATTGAGTGGAACGCGAATGGGAAAGGATGAGTTGCGTATCCCAGGGTGACATGGAGGAGATGTTGTGAGGAATAAATGAAAGGTTGTAAGCAGTCTTGAAGCCGGCCAGGTTTAAAAGACTGTAGAGAAGAGAGTAAAATGGTGACGTGCTATTGGAGCCTTATATTCCACTAGGAAAGCAAGGGACAAGTAATAACAATGGTAATGCTTAAGCTATTCTTGAAGTCCTTCAAAATTTGGTCTCATCATCAAGCGTATAGAAATATGGGTCAGTAGACTGACATGTGCGAAATGGACACTGAACAATGGATCTATCACTAAATAAATTCAGAGTTTACAAGTAGTTTTATTCACGATTTGATATCATTCAGAGAAGTATTCATAAACCTGAAATACAAAGATGATGACACACTAGATGTTGTTAGCAATTGTCTTTTGGAACCATCCAGTAAAAAAATTCCATGCAGTGTAAGCTCATTTCATCTTCACTAGCCGTAAATTGTTCGCTGTGTAAAAGGTAATCGATATCGACTGAGTCTCTCCTTGTACATCTACTAGTTGATAAGTTCTTATGAAACGAGCTACACTGGCTACTAACTAAATTGTTAGCAAAGATAATACATCTTGGTTGCATTGTGTTCTCTGAGCTGGGTTGTTTGATCATGGAGCTTTCATCATCTTTCTAGACAGCGACATATTCAACACTAACTTCTGTATGAAATGACTTGTCAATATTTCTCCTTGAGCTATTTATTTCGTAGCTTGCCCTGATCAACTGGTTTATGATTGGTTGTTTCCTTTGACTGTTGTGTCATTCACTGTACAGATTTTCTTATTGCCTGTTACTCTCCTTCACCTATCATCTTTCTGTCGTTTATCATCTTTCTTATTGGTTGATAGATTGAGTCTATGTCTATACATCTGTTGACTGCTGACTGACTGAGTGACCTAAATGCCAAGCTTCTAGGAGTCTCCTCTCTCCGTCCAAGATTTCTACATTGTCGAAATTCAATGTATGTCTATAGTTGTTATCCACGTGCATTGAAATGAGTGGTGTAATGTCGTGTTTGACGTTTTAATAGGTAACTGGTATTCATGTAGATGAAGGTGAAGAGGGTGACCACTTTGTACAATGTAGTGTTGATTAAAGTTATTATAGTTGATTTTTTAAATGATATTTGATATGTCTTCTTCGGTTATGGTATCCTTTGATCTGGTTACAACTTCTCATTGGGTAAAGTGTGATGGTCGTGAGGACAGTTACTTAATGATGATATTGGTTGACGATTGTGCTATATTGTAAGCTAACAGAAGTTGGAAATATGAACTATTGGATTCCTTCAACCCAATGGCTAGCTCAATGGTAACGTGATGGCCACGGAACATGAAGGTCGCGGGATGGATGAGTGGGGTCGTTGATGCACTAGTCGAACGAAGCAGTTGTCCAGTACTCTCACGTTTCTTTTGTTCCGCCAAATAATGTCAGTCTACAATGAATAACAACTGGTAAGAAGTATTTGTTAAAAAATATGTATAATTTTTATTAACTTTTACATCCTTTGTAAACTATGAAACTAGACAAAAATCAGAGTGTAATCATCACTAATATTTAGTATCATCTGGTTTGATTGTATTTTTTCAATTCATTTCATACTTCATCTTCATAGCCATCTTCTGAAGTTTGGTTAATTACATCATTTCAAAGAGATTTCATGTTTTCAAATAAAGAATACAGGATAAACTAAACACCAATCAATCAATCAATCAGTCAGTTAGTCCGTCTGTCATATATATATATATATATATATATATATATATATATATATATATATATATATATATATATATATATATATAGAAGGAAGGGGAGTACAAAACAAACAAACAAACAATGTAAATGAATAAGGGATAAATGTTTCGAGAATTGTAGAATAAATCAAGTAAACGGCAGTAGAATGAACACTATTGCATAATAGTATACATTTCAGAGAAGTAGTAAAACATGAGAAGATGTAGAAAAACAATACAGAGAAAACTATTCTTTTCCAATTTCTATCATCTCTGTTTTATTAATGTGATATTATTGTTAAAATGTTATAAACTGAAAATTTTTTGAATAATTCAACTATTATCTATTAATTTATTCATATATCTTCGGCAGCATGAGGAACGAGAAGAGGGGCATACGCTGTTTGACCGGTGAAAAGATCCTTCATTCTCGATTGATTATTTCATCGGGGAAGTAAATATTGATAAGAGTTAAAGGGGAAATATAGAAAGAAGAATTAAGTTATAAAATGAAAATAGGAATTAAAAGAAAGACAATCGAAAACAATACATAATCGATTTATTATCAATATTAACAAAAGGAACAATTAGTCTATCATGCTATAAACTTATGCTTAATTTATTTTCATAAAGTATAATCTATAATAAATAAGGGGATATATATATCTTATATTTACATGGATACATATACAGAATGATATTAATAAACTGTCATATTGATGGTTCATATAAGCAACAACAATAACAACAACAAAAATATTGGGAAGCAAGATGAATCGAATTATGAGCAAAATCAGATGAAATTCTGGTGAACAGTTCAATTATATAATCCATAGAAAAGGGGTCGAAGGAAGACAGAATAATTAGGAAGAAGATCAACCAGAACTTGTTTACATAAAGAGATGAATAAAGAAAATGAACTACCATGTTTTGTGTATGTATGTGTGGTGGGTGGTGTGTGGATGTAAGGGTAGGGATGAAGGTGATATAGAGATGTAGTTACTCAACATAATCGGCAAAGTTGATGGGTAATCAAATAAGGAGAAGTACTAATTCTCAAATTATAATATAATGATAATTATGAATAATCTAATACTTATTATATAATTATGATAGTAGTATAGTAAAGAAATTACTGATTTTATTTAAATTAAAGAATAGATATGAAATGATAAGTGAATACAAGTTGTTCTCTGATTGAATAATAGGAATGTATATTTGTTGATCATTGAACAATATGAATTGAAACATTGAGCATATAAAAGTATAACTATACAGATCTATGTGTTTATTATTTATCATTTGTATCTCTTTTACATGCTTATAAGCTTATACTTGGTAAAATACTTTCACTTTGAACAATGTTGAGGTAGTTTCACTGACTGTTTAAATCATTCTAAGTATTTATTCTATTCCATAACATTTAACATGTTTAATTAAACTCTGTTAAGAAAAAAAAAGGATAAATACTAATAAGTTGAAGTATTGAATTCACTCATAAAATACTTGTCAGTTTTTCATATAACTTAAACTAGGCTATGTTGTCAATCTACTTGAATTTATCAAAGATAAGTGCTGTATCCAGATTGTATTATCTATTATTATTATTACTTATCCCTTGCGTTCTTAGTGGAACAGAGAGATTCAGTAGCACATCGCCATGTCACTCCCTTCTTTAAAGTCTTTGCAATCTGGCTCCATCACTGTCTACGACCTGTTATTTATTCCTCACACACCACCTCCCCCATATCATCCTTGGATACCCATCTCCTCCTTTCTTATTCGAGTTTCACTCGAGGATCTATGTTGAATCCAATCCACCTTCACTTTATTTTTCTGCATACTTGTTGCGTGATAGGTTCTTGGTTGATCAGTTGGTTCGTTGTCAGCCAAAGTGAGTTCCTTGTTCCTTATTGTTTCTGGCCTTCTGATGTCTATCTTCAGTAACAAGTGCGCGTGGGCGGCATCTGTTCATGTATGTATGTATGTAGTTTGTTTGAAATACTTTTCGTGCAGCTCCAATTCTGTCGACTGTCACATAGAAGCACTGACTTGATTGATTGAAAATCCAGATGTTGTTCTTTATATTGATCTCCATAGATTACTGAAGCCTTGTCTTGCTGGCTTCTCGATCCTCGCTTTCACATACTCATCTATGCCTCTAAGGTCACCTGTAGTTGAAGCGATGTTGCATTCTTGGTAGGTGAAAGAGACAACTTCCTTTACATTACTCCCATTGATGGCGACTGGCACTTGTTGTTGCTGTTGTTTGGTTATCTTTATCACCTCTGCCTTATCTACGTTGACCTGAAGGAAGTCCAATCTTCGCTGCCCTGCCTGATTTGCCAACTTGTTGGTTTCCGTCTGTAGATCTTCGAGTTTGTGCGACATAAGGCTATGGACATAAGTTATCATCGGCTAAATCCAAATCTTCTAGGGTCTTTCTGTCGGTCAAACAGCGTATGCCTATCTTTCCGCTTCTCACAGTTTGTTGCTTGATCCAATCTAGTCGACCACAAACTTGTCTTACTCCTGCCTTCACTTCAAGGGCATCACTGAGCTTCCCATTTTGAATCAGTTGGCATGTAGCATCATCATATAGCTGGTGTTCAATGAGGTTGATAAAGGTTTGTGGCACTAAAACCGTAGTGTTGAATCAACTGACTGCCAAATTACGTCTTGGTCGACGCCTTAATCGAAGGCCTTTTCAAAAGCGATGAAATTGAGGTAAAGAGTTGACTGCCATTCTATGCTGCATTCTATGATAATGCGTAGCGTTACAATTTGATCCTCACATAATTTATTTTCTGCATTGTAGTGTTCACTTATTCACTTGATTCTTGGTGCACACTGCTGACGACTCCCATATGGAGACGAATCAGCTGTTCAGTCCTTCTAGTTTCCAAACGCTTCTCTAACTGATATCAAACCGTGAAGAATTCCACTTTACAATCAATATATCTCTACAAACCTTCAGAACTGAAATGAATTTTCTTTAGTTCATCGGTACACTTTCACAGTGATCTACTTCAATCCTTTTTAAAGTGGTAATTCAGTCACTATATTGAATGCTATTCTGTTATCAATAAATCTACCATTTTTGTATTCTATGAATAGATGTTAAATGCCATCATTATCATTTCATTTTCCTTGATAGCATCATTATACATTACCCAAGAAAGCTAACAATCCCAGCTGTACTGTAAATTCTTCTATGCCCTTTTCTATAATGTAAAGCTGAGGTATCTAGTGAGTTTCTGAGCTGGTGTATATGTTTTTGTATCTTCATAGCTAGTCTTCACAATACGGAGCTTTAATGTGTCATGGAAACAAGACAATATTTTGATTTAAAGAACTCCATAGCAATTATTACGATCACTGAGTTCAAAATGACGACAGGTACAATTTTCGATCAACATTGACATAACAAAAAAGAACCAATAAGTTAAATATTACATTTCCAACAAACTACAGATATTCATCAACAACTGGAGCCTACGCTGGCTCGTTACTGAATCTCATATGGCCAGAATAATGGAGATAAGCAAGGAGGAACTCTGGCTGGCAAGGAACCAACGAAGTAAGAAGCTATCGCTCAACAAATATGCAGAAGGATGTGGAGATGGATTGGGCATGCAGTGAGAAGACCATCCGGGGATATCATGCACCAGGCACTCGAATGGAACCTAGATGGGAAAAGATGAGTTGAGCTTCCGAGGGTGACATGGATGAGATCATGTGAAGAAGAAATGAACGCTTATGGGTAGTCGTGGAGCCAGGTTCAAAAGATTACAGAGAACAGAGTGGAACGGACACGTGCTACTGAAGCCGTATGTTCCACTAGGAACCTAAGGGAAAAATCATGAATCATAATACAGACTTTCGTAGTCAGATCAGAGTTATCTGAACACTCGTTAGGCATTGCATTGATCTTTGTTGGTAGAATCCACAGATCGATGAGGAGTGGATACTAATTGCTCATATCATTCAAAAGTATAGGAATGATATCCCTTCATAGTGATTCGAAAGAAAATTCAGAGATACATGAGTAAAGCAAATTTAAAAAAACTGGGTTTTCAAATATATTTCCTCTACTTGTTCTGTGTATATTCCGAAGATGTTTTTCACTAAGAGATAACTAGTTGAAATCTTTAACTTAGCAAGTTTGAAGCAAACAGTCATCAATAATCATCCTTTAATCCAAACGCAAAAAGTATATGCTGTTTCATTCAATAAAGGCTAGAAATAAATGAGACAGAGTAGTCGCTTCGAGCAGATAAAAGAATCATTTCATCACCACAAATCGTTTTGCTTACAAACTGCCTAACAACTTCAAAATATTTGAAACAAGCAACGAATGTGAAAAAAGCAGGATTTAATGAACTAATAAATCTCAGTAGTACACGTCAGCACTGAGAAGGCCGACTGGGGACATCACGCGTCAGGCCAGACACTCGAGTGGAATCCCCAGGGGGAAGCGACGAGTTGGACGTCCGAGGGTGACATGGAGGAGATCGTGAGAGGAGGAAATGAGAGGTTGTGGGCTGTCGTGGAACCAGGTTCAAAAGATCTCAGAGAACAGAGGTTACTGGAGACGTGCTACTGAAGCCCTATGTTCCATTAGGAACCCAAGGGACTAATAATAATAATAATATAGTACACGTCAGCTGGATACTCTACATACTTGATTATATGTAAAAATAAGCAATACAAAAGAACTAATGATAAGAATGATCATCAGCGATTAGCAGTGGACTCCATGATGCGCATTTCATCCTGTTCCGGACTCGTCAGCTGGATGTACCTGCTTCCCCGTGAGCGATATTATTCCCACTGGGATTCAGACTCAGGAGTTCAATCAACCACAGTATGATATAAAAACAATTATACTAAACCTATACCCATCTCACAAGAAGTGGTTATCATGACTCGGTAGTGTAGTGGATAACGCTCTGGCGTTCAAAGTGATCTTTACCGAGTCCGAATCCTAGTGGGAACAACATCATTCACTGGAAAGCAGATACACCCAGCTGACGAGTCCCAAATACGATGAAATGTGCATCTTGGATTCCACTGCTAGCCACCATCCATCATTATTATCATTAGAGCGCAGGTAATATTCAGGCATCATCACAGTAGCCCATCTGCTAAAAGAGACCGACAAATTCAGTCGAATCAAAGACGGTATGATATAGAAACAATTATAATACAAAAGTACGTATATATATATATACATATAATGTAGACTGAGACAGATTTAGGTGTAACAATATAGAAGTGAAGCGGTTTCACAAGTGAAATGGTAATTCAAAGGGTAGAAATAGATATTCAAAATTGAATGGGATAGAGATAGGTTAATTGAGTTTGGATAATAGTAGATTTTAGGTGGGAGGCGATTGGTACGAGGTTTGAGTCTCAGTGGGAACAACACCACACATTGAGGTGCAAGTAAATCCAGCTGATGAGTCTCATATACGACAAAACACGCGTCATAGATTGTTCTACAAGCCACAACCAAACAAATATCAAGGCGTTCGCACAAAAGCCTATTTGCCAATAGAGGTCGAACAATTCGATTCAATAAAACAATGGAGAATTACAAGTATGTCAATAAATGGTAACAATAATACTGTTGACATAGAAGTTAGAACTGAATTGATTGAGCGTCGATCAAGTCATTCAAAACAAGATAGTTAGTAGTACTTATGCAGACATAATAAGAAAATTAAGTGTATATTGAGATAATAATAATAATAACAATGGTAATAGGAATAAGGTTAATTAGGCGAAACAAAATATCAGATGGATGATTAGACAATGTTGTAATTGAATGCAGAGGTTGGGTTTGACAACTTTATAATTGAGCACAAGGAAAATAATATGACTAGTTTATTAACTATCTCATGGTAGGAATTAGTGGACATCGGTTAATAGATGGTGTAGCGACAAAAAGTTCAGTTCTGTTTGTTTTAAAGAATATCCCTGAAATACTCTCGTTCCGACGTTTGTGTTAGTCAAGTTTTGAGAAGATTTCTGAAGTGTAACTCGGTGGTTGTTAACTCAGTATCATTTCTGTAATTCTCTGCCTCATGACAATAATTCTTAAGCCAGGAATTTGACAATAATTAAACTAGAAAGAATAAGGCTATTGTAAATATTTGGGCATTCATGTTGTTGATTTCGTTTATACACATTACGGTAAACGACTGAATAATCAAGATGTGTTCAGCATGTGTTGTCACCTCTTTAGTTAGTGCAATTTGATAGGTATATGAACTTTCGTATGAAAATTGTAGGAGCATAATATTAGTCATAGTGGAAAACCATTCTTCTCGGCTATTGAGAATGGAGATTTAGAATACTTTTCCCTTGAAACAGCGGATTAAATGAAATTTACTGGAACATTTCATCATCTTCTGGGTCTTAATAACACGTACAAGACTAGTGATGAAATCTTTTTTTCTGTACGAGTTCGTAGCTATCAAGATCAGCTTGTTGACTATTCTCATAGCTTCCGCTTTCATAAGCAGTGAGACAGAAGAGATGACTAGTAAATTTTTAAGCTTTTTTAAGAAAATTATTGGAGGTCCCATATGTCTCAATCATAAATGATGATCCATGTTGTGTAACTTCACTTCTGAATTGAATAAACCCAGTATAGAATAGCACAAGTGTAGAAGACAATGATAACTCCCTATCTTACATAGATAGATGTATTGATCAGTTGATGATAGGATAGATCAATGATACGATTTGTTTACAAAAAGTCTACTTGGACAGGCTAATATTTAAGCCATTACAGTTTCTGTCCATAACAATACAAATGAGCTTTGTTTAGTAACAAGATTACTGACGGAGATATTAACTGAGAACAACTACCCAATAAAGTTTATAAATCGGTACAGAGTAGACAAAACATTGAGAAAGATGTTTTCATTAAGCTACCATATACTGGTGATGCAAATCGGTTAGAAAATTAGACAGAGACTTGAAGCTGCCATAAAGAAAATATACCATACTGTACATAATTGGAAATTCTAAGCTTATATATCCATCGAATCCATTGGAATAGGTGAAAGATAAAGTCACATCCCATTGTATTTACCAGTTAAAGTGTACATGTACATCGGAAGGACTCATTGGCCATTGAAAATAAAGGTCACAGAATATAGTTTAAATTGGCTTCAGAAGTAAATAGAATCACCTAATCCAACTGATACTAGAAACAAGTATCTAAGCTCCTGAATAGTTAAACCAGGGCATAAAATGGAAGTACAAACTTCATTTACACTCATCTACAAGATTTTTCGGGGATATATTTTAAAGTTTACTGATTCATTAGCCATTAGGAGGTTTAAATGACCATTATATGTTTAAAAACAATTTATCACCTTCCTCGGTGAATTCGTCTTCGAACCTAAGTTGATTGTTGTTATTATTGCTTTGTTGATTTTCATTGTTATCTTGACCTTCAATATAGACTTCTCATCTAATCGATAATCATTTCCCTAACCGTTTAATTCTCTAGTATGATAAGTAGGTGTATGATTGATCAGATTGTTCTAAATGTATTGAGCTAATACTTTACACGATTCAGACAAGTTATATCTTCTTATTCATTTATTAAAATTAGTTAGTTTGTTTATTGAGTGAATAACAACACCCATAAAGAATACCATGCCTCTTACAGTTTAAAATAACTAACACACACAGTCAGTCAGGTATTATCCAAACTGCCTTTATAACTACTAACTGTCTGACTAGATTATTTATTATTATAGAGACGTTTTGCATCTGGAAATTGGAAATTTTGTTAGATAAATTTGACGACAATGAATGATTTTTCACTTTGTGATCGCCAATATACAATATAATATGCCAAACAGGAGTGTATATTCATTCAAATGTTGTTGTTTATTCGCTTGCCCCTTTTCATTCACTCACTCACTCACCCACTCACTCACTCATTCACTCACTCACTCACACACTCACTCACTCATACACTCACTCACTCACTCACTCACTCACTCACTCACTCACTCACTCACTCACTCACTCACTCACTCACTCACTCACTCACTCACACACTCACTCACTCACTCACACACTCACTCACTCACTCATACACTCACTCACTCACTCACTCACACACACACTCACCCACTCACACACTCACTCACTCACTCGCTCACTCATACACTCACTCACTCACTCACACACTCACACACTCAAACACTCATTCACTCACTCACTCACTCACTCGCTCACTCATACACTCACTCACTCACTCACTCACTCACTCACTCACTCACTCACACACACTCACTCACTCACTCACTCACTCACTCACTCACTCACACACTCACTCACTCACTCACTTACTGACTTGTGCATGTTTTATTGCTTAGTTGCAAGCTGATTTAAAATCAACTTGAGAAATCCAGTTGTAGAATATTTTTATGAAAGTCATTTGACTGAACAAACAACTGAATGAATTATCCTTTCTTATCAGCTTTTTACCTCAGAAATGGACTGGACTAGATTAGTGTCGTCATGCAATACAGACAACATACCAGGCGTCTATAACACAACAGGTCGTTCTGATGAAATTGAAAATTCATTAAACTGGACACCCACCTACACTCTTTAAGAAGGAAAGGAATTTTAATGAATAGTAATACTATTTCTAGGGGGTTTTGATGAAAACGTTAGTTTTTATCAATTACAGTCTTTACCCAATTCAGCAGTTGTGAGTGTTAACGAAGTAGACAGACAGTTGCCTATGGTTGTATCACTTACTGAATTATTCATAGGTTTGCTGCATTGATGAACAACCATATCTCCATTTAATATGAATATTACTCTTCATAAAATGTGACTACGTAAGTGAGACGTTAGAAAGAATGATTGTCTTTACTGTCAAAGCTTGCCTTGATGATAATAATAGTGAGCTAACAGAAGTTGGAAATATGGACCGTTGGGTTCTGACCCAGTGGCTCAATGGTAACGCGCTGGTTCGATCCCTAGTGGTGTCATGGGTGTGCACTGCTGAGAAGTCCCATACTAGTCGGACGAAACAGCTGTTCAGTGCTCCCAGATTTCTTTTGTTCCTCCAACTGATATCAGTCTATGATGAATAACAACTTGAGATAATATTACAAGTTATTTCCGATATGACATTTATCACAAGTAGAAACTCCATAAGTATAATCAACTTACACCAATGAATATCACTCAAAGTGATCGACCATATTACTAAACGATTGATGACGTTCATTCATTACTTGGCACTGGATGACAAAAAATTGGCTGCTGTCCAGTCAATATGCGTTTTATCATCTTGGTAAAACTTTGTTCGAATACACAGTCTATGAATATCTACTGTTCTTACCTAGCTTCAGTCACTCTGAAACTTCAACTGAGGATGATTTTAAATTGGAGGAACACTGGAAACTTGGAAGCAAGGGATAACTACTTCATCAGACAAGTAAGGGACTCCACAGAATTGTGCACCCATGACCCCAATGAGATCGAATCGAGGACCTTCAGATTCTGTGGTCAGCCCATTACCATTGAGTCATTGGGTTGGGATGCAAGAGTCCTGGTTCCATCTTCCATCAGTTCATGATATACCGCAACTTACATCTAGTGTTCTCGTTGAGTAACTATCCTCATATTTGAGTTGGTTTACTCCACTGATCATGAGTTGTCATAAGGAATTCATGAATCACCTCTCAAAGTTAGTCACCAATGAGAGTTAGAGATTTGTGGAGATTTATTAATTGATTTTAGGTTGGAATGACATTGTAGCGTCACACACTCCCCCAAAATCAATAGCATAGGGTTCGACGACATTCAATATTGATGCTGATCTTGTCAGTTTAACTCGACTCACTAAGCTGAAGCATCTTCGCCAATCGGCACACTGTCGTGTTACGTTGCATTGCTCGTAATCGACTCTCTAACCAGTTAGTTGGTATGCATCAGTATCTTGGCACATCTGACTACGCTATTGTGTTCTTCCTTGATCTCATATTCGTGGGTATATAACAAGTTCGAATAATTAGTGATTGACATCTGCATCTGCCAAGTTCGCACCAGGACAATTCCTATAACATTAGTTGGGGGAATATTAAAAACCTGGGAGCATTCGATAGTTGTTTCAACCAATAAGTATGGATTGGGCATACACTTAGAAGGCCGACTGGGTACATCACGCATCAGACCAGTTGCACAAGTGGAGTCCAGATGGGAAGCGACGAGTTGGGTGTCTGAGGTGAGGGTGACATAGAGGAGATCGTGCAAGGAAAAAATGAGAGCTTCTGAGCTGTCATGGAACTAGGTTCAAAAGTTTGCAGAGAACAGAGTGGGAATGGAGATGTGCTACTGAAGCCCTATGTTCCATTAGGAACCTAACGGACAAATTGTATATATATAATCAAGTATGCTTCTTTGAAATACGCAGCAGTAAACAAATTTTTCTGATACCTGTCTTATAGAGCAAATCAATTGATTATATATTATCAAATTTGATCTAATGTCGATCAGTTCAGCCCTATATTGAATAATTGAGAAAAATTAATGAATAATAAGTGTATTCTTTGTATATAATAAAATAAACTCTAATGAATAGTTCAGTTTAACATACCTTATAAAAAATCTGTTTAAAATAGATTATTACTTTGAAGGACTCTTTATAATATTAGTTGTATATTCACAATGACCACTGTCACTTCCATTACCCTTACGATTATGATTGTCATTACCAGTGGCAATAATAATACTATTATCTTCATCAATATTATCTTGTTGTTCCACTTTGACAGAGTGTATCTCAGCTTTTATTCGACATGTTGTATTACTATTATTATTATTATTAATAGTATGATTACCATTTTCACTCATAATATTGGTCTGTAAATCTATTGATTGATTATTAGTAACTTTGGTATATCTTGAATAATCATCTTGTTTTGAGACAACAGTTGATGAAGTGAATGGATCAGTATAGATTGATTTGTTATGATGTTGATGTTGATGGTGATGGTGATGATCATGACGATGATGAGTCTTATGCTCCTGCTGCTGCTGTTGCTGCTGCTGTTCTCGACTAACAATAGGTGAATTAAGACTTAATTTATTATTATTTGATGATAAAGTATGAGAAGTGGTGGTCAATATTGTACTTGTTGTTGAAGCTTGTGAACCAAACTCTGAGTTCGATGCAAGCTATAACAGTAATGATATTTGTAAATAAATAACACATATAAAACAATAGTTTCATAAAAATATTGTTTATTATAATGAGAAATATAGACAATTCGAATTATTTTAAGGATAGATTTTGGCTGGCAGTGGAATCCAGGATGCGTATTTCGTCCTATTTGGGACTCATCAGCTGGATGTACCTGCTTCCTAGTGAGTGATGTTGTTCCCACCGGGATTTGGATGCGGAAGCGATCGCTTCAAACGCCAGAGCGTTATCCACTACACCACTGAGCTATGATAGCCACTTCTTGTGCGATTTTAGTCAAGCACATGCAATCTGGATGATGATAAGAACCAAAATAACAGCATGAAAATGTAGGCAATCCAATAATCAAGGTAGATCAAAAGCTTGAGAATAGTGAAAGATGAGGTAAGTGGATAAACAAAGCCTAGACAAATACAGTAAGTATACGAAAAGGGGTGAAGAATAAGAAAAGGGGTAGGAAAAAAACTGAATGATAAAGTTATTAACTAAGTAATCCCTGGCCAAGGGAGAGATAAGGGATGTGCGAACTTCTTCTGAATACAAAGGCTAGGATTATTATTATTATCTCGAATTTCCACAGCTTCTGCTATGTGTAAATGATGAGTTTGAATACCTTTTGAAAGATGAGATGGTATGCGGTGTATAATTGTCAAAGCAACGTTCTTATTTACCGAGTGACAGTATACATATTTTATTAGTCATGTATCAATTCGGTACAAAGTTTGAGATGGGCTACCCTAACAGTTTCATAAAAAGATACATGGGAATAGCCAGGGGAACAAACCTAGTACTATTATCATACAAAAGAAACCTTTATTTATGAAATTGCAATTTAATGGGGATGTGGCCGGAGAAGTTTTATACCAGGGACTCTCTAGAGTCAATAAAAGGACCTTCTACGCCACACAACTTTGTCTATCATTTTCCAGTCGACCGATTGTTACTGCTCAGACAAAAGATAAGTTATCTAGTTTTGCCATTTCTATGTATATTTAGAAGTTTAGCTGCTTCTGTTGAGAGAGCTATATACGGCATACTACTAGACAACTCAACAAACCTGTTGCTGAGCATCTACCCTCATGGTTAGGAAAGAGACAGATCAAATCCATCAGAAGTTCGCTTTTTTATCACCTCATTGGTAGTGGGTCACTCGGTAGATAAGAACATTGGTTTCATGATTATACACCGCATACCATCTCATCTTTCAAAAGGTATTCAAACTCGTCGTTTACACATAGCAGAAGCTGTGGGAATTCGAGATAATAATAATAATCCTAGCCTTTGTATTCAGAAGAAGTTCGCACATCCCTTATCTCTCCCTTGGCCAGGGATTACTTAGTTAATAACTTTATCGTTCAGTTTTTTCCTACCCCTTTTCTTATTCTTCACCCCTTTTCGTATACTTACTGTATTTGTCTAGGCTTTGTCATTTGAGGGAGTTGTGGAGATTTGGAAATATTTCAAGTTGTTATTCATCGTAGACTGACATCAGTTGTAGGAAAAAGGAAACCTGGCAGCACTGGACAGCTGTTCCATCCGACTAGTATAGGACTCCTCAGCAGTGCACACCAACGACCCCACTCCCCCAGAGATCCAACCCGCGAACTTCACGTTCCGTGACCAGCACGTTACCACTGAGCTAGCAACTGGGTTGGCAGAATCCAATGGTTCATATTTCCAACTTCTGTTAGCTCACCATATAGGGCAACCACCACCCAATATCATCGTTGAGTAACTGTCCTCACGACCATCACGCTTTACCCAATGAGAAGTCATGACCAGTGTGGGGGGAAAACGTGATGCTCGTGTTGACATTTACTCAACGATGATATTGGGTGGTGGTTGCGCTATATGGTGAGCTAACAGAAGTTGGAAATATGGACCATTGGATGCTGACCCAGCGGCTCAATGGCAAGGCGCTGGCCGCGGGACCTGAAGGTCGTGGGTTTGAAACCTGGTGGTGTCGTTGGTGCGCGCTGCTGAGGAGTCCAGTACTAGGATGAAATAGGCCTCCTTTTTGCACTTACCTTGCCCTTCACTAATACGTAACTTTTATTTTCACAAGCTTTTAACCAATTTTGATTATTGGAGTGTCTACATTTTCATGATGTTATCTTGGTTCTTATCATCATCATTATCATCATCCAGATTGCATATGCTTGACTAAAGTCAGCATGATCACTTTTGTTAATTTCATGATTATTATTATTTGTATTATTATCTCAACCGTTATATGAAACATTTATCACATCAATCGACAAATCTACACGATTGACTTATCTTTTTATATGTTATATATTAAGCTATTTATTTGTATTAGGGTAAAGCCTGAAGACGATCTAATTCAGAACAATATTGTTCGCTTATGTATCTTGTTCTAATTTACATGATGGGAATTTTTAAAACTCTAATCCTACATTATAAGTTGAGGACAAATTAAATGTTACTATTCAAACTGTATCTTATTGTTTTTTAGACGTTCGACTTTTAATCATCAATAGGTCACATGTCCAAGCTTCACTTCATCTATCGAGATATAGAATATTAGGTGGAATCATCAACTTTTACGCAACATGTATGGTTTCTTATTTACTATATGAAAGTGTATTTCTATCGAAAAGTATACCAAATAGGCTAGAAATCAGATAAGAAATGACCGGAAAACTGTTATCCTTCTAGGAAATCAACAAGTATTAGCAACATAAGCCTAATATGGGAAAAAGAGAAAGAAAACCGTCTGCCATTCCTGGATATACTTCTAAGTCGTAGAAATGATGATTCAATAAAACTGTCGATCTACAGGAAACCTACTTGGACAGATTAGTATTTAAGTTTCCATAGCTTTTGTCCAACCCAATACAAGTGAGATTTGTTAACTTGCCTATTTAAAAGGATCCAGCGTACGGAAGACTCAATGGATGATGATATCAAAATACTAATGGGAACATTAGTAGAAAAAATGGATATCCATTGAAGTTAATAAACCGTTGCAAAAATCAGCAAGGATTCAAACCTAATCTGTACTCTATTTCAAAGAAATGTGTTTACATCGCGTTACCATACGGAGAAGAATCTAACAGCATAATATTAAAACGAAGGTTAAGGTCTGGTGTTAGCAAAACATACTATGCAGCTAAGCTTATCGTAGTTGAGATGACTAAACACCTGGTGCAACATAGACCTCAACGCTGTATAAACGACTGCATCACATCCCACTGCATTTATAAATTTACATGTGTGTGTGTGTGTGGACAAATATGCATAGGTAGGACTAATCGTGATATGCACTTGAGGGTAGAGGAACATGTTCCAAAATGGCTGGGAGAACAGCTGGATTCACAAACATTGATAGGCACAGTTGGCAGACAATCATCATCTGCATCCATTGCAAAAACATATCATTGATAAGAATCACAGAATTCATATTAAAACAGCCTTTACAATTTTGTATAGAAACTGTCAGGGGTGTCTACTTAAGTTAGTTGAGACACTAGCCATAAATAAATTTAGCCCCCCCCATTGTGTGTACAAAAACAGTTTGTCCTTTATGGCATATTTGTCTTTCCTCAAGTTCCAGTTTTCAAGTAAATGTCTGGTGATCAGATTGTTCGAAATGTATAGCACTAATACATCACATATTGTTTAGATAATAATCTACGTCTAATTGTGTTTCAAATTATTAATGTGTACAACATTCAGGAGAGTTTAAGCTATCCTCCTGAGAGGAAAGTTTCTTAAAACATATACACACCTGATAATATTGTTGAAAATTAATCACTGTGCTACAGGTAAATTTGTTTGATATCTGCATCAAATTATCAAGCTTCTAACTGACTACTTCATATGCATTACTCCATTAACTAATGTCCTCTTGGGATTACTCTATAATTCTTCCTACTTTTATAATTCTTTGCTGCAATGAACTGTGGTAATGACATTAACTATTAGCGAACCTTAAAACTGAAGCTACTAACCTTCCGGTTAATTATTGTAAACTCTGAAAGTGGTTATTTGTAGGGATTGTCAACTGTTGTCAACATTAAAGCGGTTTTCCAAATGATGTCGTGAAAGTAGAGAGGGTAGAGGTGATACAGATACTCAACCAACCAATTACCATCAACGGGAGAAATCTAAACGAAGTTGTCTCTTTCACCTACCTAAGCAGGGCAGTATCGTTTCGAGTAAAAGTGACAGTGGTGGAACAGATGAAGATGTCAAAGCCAGGGTCGGGAAGACAGCATGGGAAGGCTTCATTAATCTGTGGAGATCTACTGCATTATGCTCAGTATAAAGAACAATATTCGGATTTCAAATCAATCAAGTCAGTGCTTCTATGTGATAGTTGAGAGACTTGGTGCATTACGAAAACCATTTCAAACAAACTATATACATCATACATGAACAGCTGCCGCCTACGCTTACTCGATACAGAAGATGGAGGTCAGATGACCAGAATAATAAGAATAAGCAACAAGGAACTGTGGCTGGCAACGAACCAACCAACCAACCAATACCCTATCGCCCAAAAAACTTGTAGAGGGAAGCGGAGATGGATGAGGCATACACTGAGAAGACCATTTGGGAACATCATGCTCTAGGCGTTCGAGTGGAACCCAAAGGGGAAACGATGAATTGGTCCTCCGAGGGTGAAATGGAGGAGATTTTGTAAGGAAGAAATGAAAGCTTCTGGGCAGTTGTGGAGCCAGGTTGAAAAGATTGCAGAGAAGAGAGTGAAGTGATGACGTGCTACTGAAGTCCTACATTCGACTAGGAACCCAAAGGACAAATAATAATCAATCCAGATGATGTCGGTGTGTGCTATATCGTGCCTGGATATTGTAAAGATTGTCCACAGTAGTATTTTTGAGGTAGTTATCATCATGGACTTATATTAGTTACAGAACCATTGGAAACCTGGGAGTAATTTACCGCTGTTTCGTCCTAGTATGGAACTCCCCAATCATACGCACCAACGATCCGACTAGAGGTCGAACTCAGAGTCTTCAAGTTTCTCGAATAACACTAACTATCCAACCACTATATAGGGCTTATCAGTGACATTCTTCTAGATGGATATCTTGAAGTTCTGTAGTCAGAAGAGAAGCTGATATCATTTCCAACCCAGTGACTCAATGGTTTACGTGTTCGGCGTGAATCCTGAAAGTACTGAGTTCAATCCTTAGGGAAGGGCTACAGGTGTGTACTGCTGAAGAATTCCATTCTAAGGTGAAACAGCTGTCCAATGCTCTCAGTTTTCCCAAAGATCTCCTGACTGAAATCAGTTCATGATGTAAACTACCTCATACTTGAGAATACGAAAAGAATAATCGTTAGGATAAACAATTTAACCTGTATCTTTTCAGTTTTTCTGTTGACTGTGTCATAAATGCACAGTTATTCTATATAGAATTGAGAAGATAGTTTGAGAGAGCCAGTAAATTCTTGGTAATAGAAATCTACCAGCTACTTATTTAATTATCAAATTAATTGTAATGTTTTTGTGATAATGAAATAAACTGAAGTTTAGCAGTGCTTTAGATGTTTGATACAAAACTACAGGGTATAGGATCAAAACTATAGCCATCACACAAGAAGTAGCTATCGTAACTCAGTAATATTGTAGGTAACATTCTGGAGTTGGAAGTAATATATGCTGAGTATGATCATCACTTAGAACAACAGTACTCATGAGGATGTAGATGGATCCAGCCGACTAGTCATGAATCGGATGAAATTTGTATCTAGAGTTCCACTTTTAGCCGCTGTCCTCCATTAGGATTAGATTTTAAAGATATTAGTTAGAATTGTTGATGAATTTTCGGTTTCCTTTAACGTGTAATTATGCATTTGGTGGTGACTGTCAACAAGTGAAACACTTATAAGGTTTTCTAGAAAACATGATGCTTTGTTTATATTCCATCATGAAATAAACTCCATAGTATCATAATATTTTATTCATCATGATGAATCACAGAGGAATTCAGAACACACGTTACATCCTGTTTAGAATTCGTCAGCTGGATTTAATTACACTCTAGAGCGGAGTGATATTGTTTCCACCCGAACTCGAACTCAGTACCCATTGCTTCAAATGCCAAGGCTCTGTCCATTAGGACAATGAGGGTACAGGAGCCATTACTTGTTCAGTGGGCATCAGTTGTTGCTTGAAACTTGTAATTTTTCGATACTATACAGAGTCTCACATATAGGATCTTATGCGGATACCAGGATACAATACAATAATATTTTTAATTTTAGGAAAGGTAATAAGTACTCACAGTATGTCCAGAAGCAGATCTTCGATGTCTTGTCAAACGTGCTATCAATAAATCAACTATTTTTGGTTGAATAGACTCAATCGTTTCTACAGAATCGACTTTATTTAATATCAGTTGAGAAATCTGATTATTATCATTAGGATCATTGGTCATCAATGTTGTCGTTGTTGTTGTTGTCATAGTACCTGTAACACTGATAGATGTTGGTGTTACAGTATTCCTATTGTCTTGATTATTAACTTGTGTAGTTGTACATGTTAATTTACGCAGAACAGAACGTAAAAGACTGAGTGGATTATTTGCATTGACTAGAATAACTCCATTCACCTCCAATAATTCATCACCAATTTGAAGTCTACCATCCTATATAGAATAGAAAAACATTTAAAAAAAATATGGAAGAATTGAATTCACCATCAGTAGAATTAATTAAAACTAACGAGAGATGTTGAAGAATGTTGATTATTACGAAATGCAGTTTGATCAGAGCTCTACGTGTAGCTGAAAGATGATATTCCATCTATATTAATATTTTTGAATGTCAAAATGACCCATGTATGCGTTTATTTCTTTTATTATCCTCTAACAGTAATAATTAGAACAAGTTATCGTAATAATGCCGTTAAGTTGAGTACTAGTAGACATAACCAACTAACTAATGGACAAGTAACATTATAAACAAGCAGTTGAAATTCTGAAATTGGGAGTGATGGAGTGAGTTTGGGTTAGAAAATGATCCTCTTGAAGTACAAATATTCCAAGCCAAGGTTGCTTATCATTTTTGTTTTATTTCGAAACAATCTTATCATGCCTAGCAATGGATTAAGTTTTCATTAGTCATAATTTCTAATCGTTATATGAACTTCATACGAAAAAGACAATAGTTTCTTATCCCCATCCCACAGTTATTCATCCAATATGAATAAAGTTGTAAGTAAAGAGAAATCTTGGAAAAATATTATCAGCTAGACTTGTAGACTAGAAAAATTATCGATCAAATTAACTTAATTGTTAGCAAAGATAATACACATCTTGGTTGCATTGTGTTCTCTGAGCTGTTTTATTTGATCATGGAGCTTTCATCATCTTTCTAGACAGCGACATATTCAACACTAACTTCTACATGAAATGACTTGTCAATATTTCTCCTTGAGCGATTTCGTAGCTTGTCCTGATCAACTGGTTTATGATTAGTTGTTTCCTTTGACTGTTGTGTCATTCACTGTACAAATTTTCTTGTTGCCTGTGACTCACCTTCACCTCTCATCTTTCTATCGTTTATCATCTTCCTTATTGGTTGATAGATTGAGTTTATGTCTATACATCTGTTGACTGCTGATTGACTGAGTGACCTAAATGCCAAGCTTCTAGGAGTCTCCTCTCTCCATCCAAGATTTCTACATTGTCGAAATTGAATGTATGTCTATAGTTGTTATCCACGTGCATTGAAATGAGTGGTGCAATATAGTGTTTGACGTTTTAATAGGTAACTGGTGTTCATGTAGATGAAGGTGAAGAGGGTGACCACTTTGTACAATGTAGTGTTGATTACAGTTATTGTAGTTGATTTTGTAAATGATGTTCCATTTGTCTTTGTCTGGTCTCCAAACACTATAATGTAGACCAAAAGATGCCACACAACTCTGCATGGTAAGATGAGAACTAATCAAAACAAACCTCTGTCGTTGATTGGTTACATGAAACAGAATGTAACCTGAGTATAGTCCTCTGTAGGACAACATTGTAATTACAATAAGAACAAATAAACAAAGGGAATTGATTAATGAAATAGAAAAATTAAAACATGACTACTTTGTAACTGAATACTAGATCAAAGCTTCAAAAATTCAGTTATAAAGACAGTGAGACTGAAGTTCATAAATTTACTTCGCATTTCAATAGTTGTTTCGGTAGACATAATAACATAGGTCGATTTTAATCTAGAAATCTATCTTTCCCCACTTTCTACTAGCTCAGTGAAACGTTCAGTCGGAAACTTCACACTTTGATTTAAAGTTGTAATTCATCTTAGACTGGCATCAGTTGAAGAAACAAAGGAAACCTGAGAGCACTGGACAGCTGTTCCATTAGACTAGTATAGGACTCCTCAGCAGTGCGCACCCACAACCCAAACCTCGCTAGGGACCCAACCCACGACCTTCACGTTCCGTGACCAGCACGTTGCCGTTGAGCTAGCCATTCGGTTGGCACAATCCAATGGTTCACATTTCCAGCTTCTATGAGATCACGATATAGCGCAACCACCACCCAATATCATCGTTGAGTAACTGTCAACACGAGCATCACGTTTTCCCCCCACCGGTCATGACTTCTCATTGGGTAAAGCGTGATGGTCGTGAAGACAGTTACTCAACGATGATATTGGGTGGTGGTTGCGCTATATCGTGATCTAATAGAAGTTGGAAATATGAACCATTGGATTCTGCCAACCGAATGGCTAGCTCAATGGTAACGTGCTGGTCACGGAATATGAAGTTCGCGGATTGGATCTCTGGGGGAGTGGGGTCGTTGGTGCTCACTGCTGAAGAGTCCTATACTAGTCGGATGGAACAGCTGTCCAGTGTTGCCAGGTTTCCTTTTTTCCTATAACTGATATCAGTCTACAATGAATAACAACTTGAAATATTTCCAAATCCCTACAACTGCTTCGAAATTCACTTTGATTTAAAGGTAATAATTTCATTTTCTTCATTGTTAACCCATATATGACATTTTGTTTCATCCATACACTTATATATATGAAATTCGATTTGTTCACTTACTTTATGCGCTGCTCCGCCTTCAATGACACATTTGACAATGACACCACCATAAATAGAGTCAGCAATGCATAAATCTGTCCATGATGATGATGATGATGATGACGATGTTGCTGTTGAATTTACCTTATCTTCATTATCTGATTTTATATTCAATTTCATTTTGATAGTATTTTGTGATAATTCATTCAATTTGCTAGCTCTAGATGAATTTGATTCACGTACACTGACACCAAGTCTCATTTGACGTAATCCTGTCCCAGACACTGTATTATTGTTGATAGTGTTATTCAAGTTGATGGAGAAATTTTTATTACATTCTATATTCTCTTCATTAACAGGAATCAATGGGATATATAATCGAAGTAGAATCACATCTGGATATGGCTAAGTAGAATAACATAAAAGGAATATGAGTAAACGATGAAATTCAGTTGAATTGAATCACCTTTAAAAAAATTCATGCTAAGCGAAATCAGTATACACTACTAACAAGTAGTTTGTTTGATTTTGGCATGTAAAGGAATTCAGAATGCGTGTTTCGTAGTATTTAAGTCTAGCCAGCTCGATGTACCAACACTTCAGTGAGTAAAGTTGTTCTCACTGAGACTGGAACCTTGTAGACAATGCTTCAGAAGCAAAGGTGTTATCCTGTATACCCCAGAGGCACGGTAACATGATAGGACGAAATGCACATCCTGGATTCCTCTGCTAGCCACAATCAACCATCATTTGTCCCTTGGGTTCCGAATGGAACATAGGGCTTCAGTAGCACGTCTCCAATGAACTCTCTTCTCTTAAATCTTTTCAATCTGGCTGCACGACTGTCCACAAGCTCTCATTTCTTCCACACAAACCATCTCTTCGATGTCACCCTCCCCTCGGACGCTCAACTCGTCGTTTCCCATCCACGTCCAACTCGAGCAACTGGTCTGGCACCTGATATCCTTGAATGGTCTTCTCACTTCATGCCCAATCCATCTCCACTTCCTTCCACTGCATATTTGTTCAGCCATAGCTTCTTGCTTCTTTGGTCACTTGCCAGTCAGAGTTCCTCCTTGCTTATTCTTATTATTCTCGCCATCTCAGCATCAGTAACGAGTCAGTGTGGGCAGTTGTTGATGAATGTCTGTAGTTTGTTGGAAATGCTTTTCGTGACGCGCCAAATCTCTCAACCATCACATAGAATCACTGACTTACTTGACTGAATTGGTGTTGAAAATCTGGATGTTGTTCACACTGAGTGCAGAGTGTAGAAGATCTCCACACTGGTTTCAGGTTAATGAACACCTGTGTTGCTGTCTTTCCGATCGTGTCTGACTTTGACGTCCTCGTCTGTGCGTGTGCGTGTGCCGCCACCTGTGGTTGAAAGGCTGCTACCTCGTAGGTAGGTGAGTGAAAGAGGCAACTTCGTTTAAGTTTCTCCCGTTGATGGTAATTGGAGCAGCCACAATCAACCAAATTATCATAATTACCATTCAGGCAATATCAAGGTATCCGCACAGGAGCCCTTATGTCAGCATATGTAGAACAATTCTATCCAACTAAGCAACACAGAATTACAAGTCTATCAATAGATAGCAATAAGAACGAGTATATTGATATTTATCAACGAAAAAAAGACGCCACCTAACATCAGTGTTGTAATATGTGAATGTTGATTTGAGAAACTTTTCAGGTTCAAAAGTATACAAATGCTCTATGACATGATACATGTCTACCAAATCCACGTATAACATGTGATGATTTCAACCTGATGAATGCTTGATAATAATTCCACTAGAAAAGAAGCACATGAATATCAGTATAATAGAGAGTAACTACTTAACACTTCTCAATAGTGTCATGACGTACGTATTTCAAGATTACTTTTCATCTCTTACGGCAGTTAAACAAAACATAAGCACTGATGGGTACCTCAAAGTAGGACGTGGACTAATAGCAATCCATGATAAGCCTATTTGGAAAGTAATCAGTCTCTAACAATCCTAAACATTGAATAAAAGCTCATTTCTAACTAGTAACTTCTTCAGAAATGGTGTTTTCAAGATTTTAATGAAAAAGTAAGACTGGTAGTGTCATATGGGAGAATAAATACTCATATGAGTGCCAATATTCTTACAGTAATAGATTGATTCATCCCAATATAAAAACGAGATATTACAAGTATTAATAAAGAAGAGGAGAATAGTTTCCTAATTATTCAATGATTAATATGAAGTCAAAAACATATGAACAATTTAGTTGAATTCCAAAAAAACTTTGAAAAATTCTAAATTCCATTAAATGTATAAATAAACTAACCGGATAATTTGGATGATAAACACGTTCTAAATGACTGAATCCATCATAATATGAAGAAGTAATTGGTAGCGGTGGAGATGAACATTTCCGCGTAACTTTGTCTGTTTGACAGTCAAGCCAAGGCGGTTTCCTAGGTGATGAATCATAATACCCTATCATTCTTGGAGATTGATTGACTTCAGTGTTCATTACATCAGGATATGGACAAATTGAAGAGGGTATGGCAGTAGTGGTAGAGGCGGCGGCTGTGGAGCATGAAGAGGATGGATGATTTAACCAACTACATCTCGGATAATCATGAAAGTTCAACTGACACATATGCACTTGTCGGCGGACTAATAAATTTACAATACTACCAACTGGTTTTATACGAAGGATAGAAACAATTTGAGCTTGTGTTTTACTCATAACATCTAAGTGATCAATCTGAAAAGAAAACAAAAACATGATATTTATCTATTTATCTCAGAAAAAGTGACAAAAAGTATTAATAAATCAGGTCGATTTGGAAGATCGAACTGGACAGCTTGTGTAACAATTCTGCTACAATGATGGTTGCATATTACTCAATCACTTAACTGTTGAGCAAAACCATGCATCATTAATATAAGTATCCTTGAGTAATAACTTCTGCTTGGAACATCATTAATTAAATAATACTCCACCACTGTGTGTGGAAAGGATTAAATTACTCAAGAGAAATAGAGACCAGATCAGTAACTTGTTCTGCCAGGTCATCTGCTGAAGTATTATTATTCTATTATATATTATTTGTCCCTTGGGTTTATACTGGAACATAGGGAATCAGTAGCAGGTCTCCATTCAACTCTATCCTCTGAAATCTTTTCAATCTGCCTCCACCACTGCCCACAAGCTCTCATTTCCTCCTCACACCATCTCCTCCATGTCAACCTAGCCTCCAACGCCCAAATCATCGCTTCTGATCTGGGTTCCATTCGAGAAACTGGCCTGACGCGTGATGTTCGCAGTCGGCCTTCTCTATGTATGCCGAATCCATCTCCACTTACTTCCACTGCATATTTGTTCAGCAATATCTTCTTGCTTCATTGGTCACTTGCCAGTCAGAGTTCCTCCTTGATTATTCTTATTATTCTCGCCATCTGAGCATCAGTAATGAGCCAGTGTGGGCGCCAGCTGTTGATGAATGTCTGTAGTTTGTTGGAAATCCCTTTCGAAATGCGCCAAATCTCTCAACCATCACATAGAATCACTGACTTACTTGACTGAATTCGTGTTGAAAATCTGGATGTTGTTCACACTGAGTGCAGAGTGTAGAAGATCTGCACACTGGTTTCAGGTTAATGAACATATGTGTTGCTGTCTTTTCGATCGTGTCTGACTTTGACGTTCTCGTCTGTGCGTGTGCCTGTGCCGCCACGTGTAGTTGAAATGGTGCTGCCTAGGTAGGTACGTAGGTTGAAGAGGCTGCTTCGTTTAAGTTTCTCCCATTGATGGTGATTGGAGTTTGTTGTTGTTGTTGGTGGTGTTGGTTGGGTATCTTCATCACCACTATCTTCTCTACATTCACTTGAAGTCCTATCTTCACTGTCTGTTCTGTCAACTTGTTGAGTTTTGCCTATAGATCTTCAAGTCTATGCGACCTCACCTACTTAACTAGTTCACTAGTTACTACATGGTCCTAAGCTCAGGTTAAAAGAGAAGGTTGGACATACGACTAGTAATCCTATCCAGTAAAACCAATCCAATTATTAAAGAAACTTCAAAGCACAAAGTAAATCATAAGAACTCATACTAATTAACGGTAACTAATACATTGCCTAGTCTATTAATAATTACTAGGAGATCTCCTGTTCAATAAAATCCAAAGTAGAGTAAGTATCAAACATCAAACTGTTAAAAATACTTCAGTCAGTCAGTCAGTCAGTTGGTCAATCAAAAATTAATAATAGAACCGAAATTACTGAGTTACACTCTAAATTACCATACTTCATATTAGTTACATCTTCTAATTAAAAAGTATTCACCGGTTTACCAAGAAAGTAGGGAAAAGAATCATCGCAATAATCTGTATATATATATATATATATATATATATATATATATATATTAGGGGCGGCGAGAAGAGGGGGATACACTGGACGACGGAAAAGAACCTAGAAGACTTGGATTTCGCCGATGACTTATGCCTAATGTCACATAAACTTGAAGATCTGCAGGCAAAAACTAACAAGTTGATAGAAGAGGCAGCTAAGACGGGACTTCAGGTGAATATCGAGAAGACAGAAGTGATGAAGATACCGCACCACCACCATCAACAACAACAACAAACTCCAATCACCGTCAACGGTAGAAACTTGAAGGAAGTAACCTCCTTCACCTATCTAGGAAGCACTGTTTCAACTACAGGCGGGACGGACGAGGACGTCAAAGTCAGAATCGGAAAAGCAAGACAGGCGTTCATTAGCCTGAAACCAGTGTGGAGATCTTCTGCACTCAGCATGCGAAACAAGATATGGATTTTCAACACCAACGTCAAGTCAGTGCTCTTGTATGGTTCAGAGACTTGGCGCGTCACGAAAGGCATTTCCAATAAACTACAGACATTCATCAACAACTGCTTATGCTCGCTGCTGAAGATCAGATAGCCAGAAAAAATAAGCAACAAGGAACTCTGGGAACGAACCAACCAAGAACCTATCACGCAACAAATATGCAGGAAGAAGTGGAGATGGATTGGCCATGCACTGAGAAGGCCGACTGAGGACATCACGCGTCAGGCCAGTTACTCGAGTGGAATCCCCATGGGAAGCGACGAGTTGGACGTCCGAGGGTGACATGGAGGAGGTCGTGAGAGGAGGAAATGAGAGGTTGTGGGCTGTCGTGGGACCAGGTTCAAAAGATCTCAGAGAACAGAGGTCACTGGAGGCGTGCTACTGAAGCCCTATGTTCCACTAGGAACCCAAGGGACTAATAATAAATAATAATAATAATAATATATATATATATATATATAATGATTAAACTGTTATCTACCTGAATAAGTCTGTCATCCACATGTAGTTGTCCATCTTTTATTGCTGCACCATTGGGTAAAATATTTTTCACGCATACAGCAAATAAATTATCATTTGAATTAGTTGATTTATTTCCTTTATTGGTTTCATAAGTTTTGTTGTCAAACTGAATCCTAAACCTGTTGAATCTGTTCAATTGTATGAGAAAAAAAAAAACAATAGTTAAATACCATTTTTAATTTCTATAGACTGATATCAGTTAGAGAAATATTGAAAATCTGGGAGCACTTAACTACTTTTTCATCTTAGTACAAAACTCGTTAACAGTGTGTAACCATGATCCCACCTCATCTAGGATCGAACTCAGGGACTTCAAGTCCCATGACCAGCACGTTATCATTGATTCACTGGGTTTGGAATTCACTGGTTCATATTTCCAATTTCATTCAGTTCACAGCATAGCACAACAATCACCTAATGTCATTGTTGGGTATTTTTTTCCCTCATGTCCACCAGGTTTCCCCACTGTTTATAACTTTTCATTGAAACTTCAGGAATAATCACCTCTTGAAGCAAGTCACCAATGAGCCCTAGGTCAATTGTGGGGAATTAAGAGATATTTTAAGTTGGTTTTATTCATGGTTTGACTCAGTTAGAGGAACATCAGAAACTTGGGAGCACTGGACAACTGTTTCGTCAAAGTGTGGGACCCTTCAGGTTCCATGGCCAGTACTTTACCATTGAGCCACTGGGTCGGAATCCCAGCAAGCACCATTCATTGTAATCATTGAGTATTTTTCCCCATATCCACCAGGTTTCTATCTTGTCCCACACTTTTATCCTATTGCCATAATACTTCTACTTATCTCTTCTTATCATATGACAATCTTAAACTTTACAGCTGGATGGTATACACATTCATCCCTTAAAACTGATTGGTTAGCACCAGTGTGTTAGTTATTCAAATGTCTTATCGAAAAAGGTTTCTATTGGCAATCTTTCAACTTAACAAGTGTAATGAATAAATCTGATTATATCTACAAAGTGAATGAGGATATATAAACAGGATCATATGAGGAAATTAAGAAATCAATGGATTCCGTTATGAATAAGGTTAAGAAATCGACAGGGGGATCTGATAACACCGGATTAATCTGTTTCTAGGTGAGTCATAATGGTTTAATGTAATACTGAAAACTAATAACCTCAGTAGAATGTATGGTGCCATTAAGATTCATAAGGCAGGTTATCCCATTTAGTATATAGTAGATTTCAGAAACACTCCAATTCACGAGCTGTCTGAATATTCAGCAATAATGTCAGACTCAAATCACTCAAAATCCCGACTTATCAAGTCTCATAACTTAAACCATAGATTAGATGATATACATTTATTATTATTATTATTTGTCCCTTGGGTTCCGAATGGAACATACGGATTCAGTAGCAGGTCTCCATTCCACTCTCTTCTCTGCAATCTTTTGAACCTGGCTCCACCACTGCCCACAAGCTCTCATTTCTTCCTGACATCACCTCCTCCATGTCACCCTAGCCTCCGATGCTCAACTCGGCGTTTCCCATCCACGTCCAACTCGAGCAACTGGCCTGGTGCGTCATGTCCCCAGTCGGCCTTCTCACTGTATGCCCAATCCATCTCCACTTCCTTCCAGTGCATATTTGTTCAGCGATAGCTTCTTGTTTCATTGGTTCCTTGACAGTCAGAGTTCCTCCTTGCTTATTCTTTCTGTTCATCTGAGTTTCAGTATGGAGTGGCTGACTTTGACGTTCTCGTCTGTGCCTGTGCCGCCACCTGTAGTTGAAACGATGCTGCCTAGGTAGGTACGTAGGTGGAAGAGACTACTTTGTTTAGGTTTCTCCCGTTGATGATGATTCGTGCTTGTTGCTGCTGTTGTGGTTGGTTGGGTATCATCGTCACATATGTCTTCTATACATTCACGTGAAGTCCCGTTTTCGCTGCCCTGCCCTGCCTCTTCTGTCAACTTGTTGGATTTCGCCTGTAGATTTTCAAATTCGTGTGACATCAGACACAAGTCGTCGACGAAATCTAAATCTTCTAGGTTCTTTTCCCCTGTCCAGAGCATGCCCCTCTTCTCGCTCCTCACTATTTGTTGCATGATCAAGTCCACTACAATCAGGGATATCATATGTGATAGTAGGCAGCCTTGTTTTACTCCTGTCTTCACTTCGAAGGCATCACTGAGCATCCCATTGTGAATTACTTGACATGTGGTGTCGATATACATTTAGATGACAATTAAACAAATGATTAATTATGACATGATATAACAATGAATCTTTCAACCAACCTGAACCCGTGTTGAGGTTAATAAACTACAAAGATGTAAGAAATGTCAATTTGACAAGTACTATTTGTTTGGAATTGGAATTTGCGAAAGTAGTTAGATTGTAAGCAGACTCTCCCAACTGTCAACTGGAGACTCAACAACCTACTTAAATATTGTTACCCAGACGACAACCACCGAGCACACGGAGGGAGTGGTTATCATGACTTCCCCAAGGACATCGAAGGCACTCATGCAGTGGGAACCAATCTCCTCCACCATCAGGATCATGACAGCAAGATTCAAGTCAGAAGGAAGGAAAGTCACAATCATACAATGCTACGCCACGCACCTACAAATAATGCAGATCAAGAGAAGGAGGAGGAATTCTACAGATACCTGCAATCCGTACAGGATAAGACTCCAGTTGGCGACATCAAAATTCTAATGAGTGACATGAATGCCAAACTCGGAGAGGACAACACAGGAAGAGAACTCATCATAGGTCGAGAAGCACTTAGTGAAATGAATGAGAATGGAGAACTGTTTAGAGACTTCTACGCATTCAAAGATTTGGTGATTGGAGGTAGTGTGTACAAACATAAGGACATTCACAAAGCAACATGAATTTCACCAGATGAACACACTACACTAAAAATCAGATCGACTTCATCTCAATCTGAAGAGAGTGAAGACGCAGCCAGCCTACTGGACACAAGATCAGATCAAGAAGGGGAGCGGTTGTAGGTTCACACCACTCACTGGCTAGTGCAAGGAACACAACTTCAAAGTCAAGTTGAAAGCCTTCACAGAAGTTGGTGATAGACCACAGTTCAAGTTGAATACTCAGAAACAAACTGAAGGAAGAAACTACAAAGGATATCTTCATATCAGTCAGCCATCAGGAAAAAATGGAAGACATCAGGCAACATTCCTGAAGAAACCTATGTGGATGAGTACTGGAACTCTTTGAAAGCTATGTGGCAGGAAACCTGCATAATCGTGTTATGAAGGAAAAATGACCAAGATCAGAAACGGATCTCTACGGACAGATGGAAGCTGATAGAGAAGGGAGAGGAAGATGGTGAAGCAGAAGATAAACCAGTGCAATGATGAACAGCGAAAAAAGGAACTGAACACAACCTATAAGACACTACACTTGACAAAGAAGTGAAGGAGAGTGCGCCCAAAGTCAAAAGAAACTTATGTGACACACCTGCAAGTGAAGTAGTACAAGCTGCAAGTAAGAGAGACCTTACAACATTATATCAAATAACCAGGCTAATATCTGGGAAGAGATCAACACAGATTAAACCAATGAAAGATAGTGAAAGAAACTTAGTTACCAAAGAGGAGAGACAAAGAAAACAATAGGCTGACCACTTCAAAAAACACTTGAATCGACCACCACCAGTACTTGCAACCCATCCAGAAATACCACCAGCACCTCAGCCACAGAACTATCAGTGAACACAAGCCCTCCGACAAAGCAGCACGACTAAATGAAATTCCTCTAGAAGATAGAGGAGGAAGAGAAAGATGGTGAAGCAAAAGATAAATCAGTGCAAAGATGAACAGCAAAAAAGAGGAACTGAACACAACCTAAAAGACACTACACTTGACAAAGAAGTGAAGAAGAGTGCATGGAAAGACATAAAAAGTTTTTCAATCCATAGAAAAGTGATATGATTGAAATTATAGTTGTTCAGCGAATAAATAAATATGGGATATATGACTCATAGATTCAGATTATTGACTTAGACCTCCTGTTCGATGTTTTAAGTTCGAGACTTTCTCTCATCAATTGAGATTTAAACAATATGAAAGTTAAACTTGAAAAATTAAATATTTTCTTAAATTTATAATTTAATATATTCAAAATAAAAGAACAATAACTTACATTTTTGTAATGATATCAAGATATCTTTTTCTTTGATACATTCAGGTGTACAACAACATGTTATTGGTGGCATTATTTCATTCTCTGAAATTCTATGATCAATAGAATGTAAATGATGTTGAGAAGAAGTATACTGTATACTACAACTATTATCATAATATTGTTGATGTGATTGATGATCACAGTGTATACAATTAGTTGAATTTTTTGTTACTGATGAAGTTATACTATTTACTGCAGCTAAAGCCATTGCATTAGCTGCAATTCTTAAACGATCATCTCTTTCAAGACCAGCTTCCATTTCAGCTAATAATAAATGTCTACGTGCTTCTGATTCTCTACGTTTTGAAAGTAATTCAGTCATATGTATCACTTCAGCATCTGCATCAGTATGATGTGTTGTCTTACATGTACAATAATCATCTATAGTATGTATAGGACCGATTTCTTCACCTTCTATGCTGTTCATATTATGCGCAGATGAATATGTTTTATGTTTCTTATGAATATTAAATTTTTGTTGTTCAATATGATTACATTCTTGACTACTATGATGATCATTAGTGTTGACAACAGCAGTAGTCATAGTAGTAGTAGTAGTAGTAGTATTATATGATGATACATTAAACTGTTCATTATTACGATCATCACCTTTATACCGATCAATTGTTTGACTTCCAGTATCATTATTACTACCATCATCGATGGTACCATTATGAGTTCTGATAGAATTCATTCTATACTGATCATTTTGACATTCATCTGGTTTACTTGATGTATTAGAACTGTGAAAAAAAGAAGTAGAGAACAGGAAATCAACAATTACTTACTACAAATAACTGGATGAATAGGATAAAACAACTATAAATTGTAAATTATTCATGATAAGAAGCAAGAAAGGAGAATCGAATTGGTTCTAAAACTGTATCCTAATACAAAGATATGTATTAGTAGCTAGAGAGCAACCGATTTCATGTTATATTCTCCTCTGTTCTAATCGAATTCTTCTAATGTGGAGTTACCAGCCTAGGTAAGTCAGTATCATGAACCACTCTGATTGATGTTAAGCTTCGGAAGACTATCGGTTTTCGTGAAGAATGCCTTCAGCCAGGTTATACAGAGACAAAATATGGTAGTAGTGAAGTCTTAGGAAATTAAATGCTAACGGTAAACCCAAAGTGTTTGATAAAGAAGGTAAATTATACTGGATCGGTTCGTTAGCTTCAAGATTTTGAAAGCGTAAGTAACTAGCCTTTACAGGAATTTAGACATACTACCGAGGATATAATGACTGAAACAGCTGAGTATATATGGAGCTTCTTTGGAATTCAACGTTACACTACTGAATATTTGTGAGTAGCTCATACTTTACTTCAAAAGTTCACACCCATGTGATCAGTTGAACTACATGACTTGGTAACAGTTAATGTTATTATTATTATTATTATTACTAGAACACAAACATGGTATTGTAAGAGCACCAAGAAATGCGCTACACAAAATAAGCTTGTGAAAACACAAACGATGGGAAGTGGAGGAATCAGAAAGGTAAACAATAAGAACGGCATGATCAAAATGGTAATCCAGTGAGATATATTCAAAACAAAACATTCATTACTTTTCAGCACCAGAAGATAGGAGGAAGCTACAGCATAACCGCCACTGGTTTTGATTCTAAGACATATGTGATAACGTCTTAAGCCACCGGGTTGCCTGTGCTTTCAGACCCTACCCATGGAGTCGTGATGTACGAACGGGTGCTAACCCGATACAACTATCCTTCATCCTACAGCGCCACGTCATAGACTAATCACCCCTCCGCCTATTTCATCCACTCCCAGTCTAAGGACTAGCAAACAATGAAAGACTTAGAAGAGATCGAACGACATAGGTAACATATTTTCATGCCACTGAAGCTGGTGTTTCAGGATGACTTTACGTAGTGAATAAAGACCTCCATGATCCCCAAACAAGTTGTTATACCTCAGAATTACTTAATTGGTGTCGCCACCTGATACGAGCAATCCTACAGAGACAGGGATTATCGAACATACAGAGTCGTGGTACATCCTCAGCTCAGAAAGGGCCAAGTTTCACAAGTGTAGATCAAAATTGCTTACACCAGACCCTTAACGGTCAGATTAACGTCATGACGGCGCCGAAGATGGCCCAGACTGACGTTTGCCACTTTAGTTTACGATATACGATTAGATATTTCACCACTAACACCTCCATCAGTGCTCATACAACTAGCCAGATACATGAAAGTTTCGATTACTTCCAATACATATACATACACTACATGCAAACACTTACAGACACAGTTTATAGGAAAAAGTAGTACCAATTATTGTACAGTAGGAGGCTATGAAAATGAATACCATCATATAAAGTTTTATAAATTATATTCTTTTAGTCCAATAATGATCATTACATTAAATTTCATTCAAAACAATATCGATACATTGAAAATTCCCCTTGTACATTTTAGATAGATTGTAAAAATGATAAACTTGAGAAATCAAGATGCAACTAATCAACAGAGAGTAAATAATTATACAGGGTTTAAAAAAAACGACTAATTATAATAATGTGGGATGAATAATTCTTTGGCAAACTGCAATATAACTAGTAAATAGAACGGGATATTATTCCGTCTGGTCAGCCATAAATAACTAATAACTAACTTTAAGTTGTTATTCATTGTAGACTGACATCAGTTGGCGGAAAAAAGGAAACATGGCAGCACTGGACAGCTGTTCCATCCGACTAGTATAGGACTCCTCAGAAGTGAGCACCAACGACCCTACCCCACTAAGGATCCAACTGGCGACCTTCACGTCCCGTGACCAGCACGTTACCATTGAGCTAGCCATTCGGTTGGCAGAATCCAATGGTTCATATTTCCAACTTCTGCTAGCTCACCATATAGCGCAACCACCACCCAATATCATCGTTGAGTAATTGTCAACACGAGCATCACGTTTTCCCCCCACCGGTCATGACTTCTCATTGGGTAAAGCGTGATGGTCGTGAAGACAGTTACTCAACGATGATATTGGGTGGTGGTTGCGCTATATGGTGAGCTAGCAGAAGTTGGAAATATGAACCATTGGATTCTGCCAACTCAGAGGCTAGCTCAATGGTAACGTGCTGGTCACGGGACGTGAAGGTCGCCAGTTGGATCCTTGGTGGGGTGGGGTCGTTGGTGTGCACTGCTGAGGAGTCCTATACTAGTCGGATGGAACAGCTGTCCAGTGTTGTCAGGTTTCCTTTCTTCCTCCAACTGATGTCAGTCTACGATGAATAACAACTTGAAATATTTCCAAATCCCGACAACTCCCTCAAAATTTAATAATTAACTGACGAAATATACCCATTTATTCATTAACAAGAACAAGGCATGTATCAGCGAAGAAGAAGTGTTTCTTTTCAACGACTTCATTATCAAGCTGTATAGTCAAATTTTTACTCAGTAAAGTGACAGATAATTCCACTAGGATGAGTTGCTCAGTCAATATGCTGAAATCGAAACTCTTAGAATAATACTATCTAAGAACGGATAACCTAAAGGATTCATTGATAAGAATCTGAAGAAACGAATCACTCCCCATCCCATTTCAGTCCCTAAGAAAATTTTAACCATAAATCTAGAATTCAGAAGAGACTTAACAGCTGAAGTGCTGGAATATCGTCTGTCAAGGTGTATCAATAGTAGCTTGTATACTGCTACACTAAGAATAATATTCTCCAGCTGCCGTCTGATTTGTCAATGCATGAAGGATAGGCTTTCACTTATGTCCACATCTATATGTATCTACAAGTTCATATGCTTCTGTTAAGCTGACTATATTGGACGTGGTGAGCGGGCCCTCCGAAAACGTGTTGCTGAACACTAACCAGTTTAGCTTACCAGAGGCGAGCAAAGGAAAACGACTTCATCCATATGTGAACATCTTGTTCAACTGGGTCACTAAGCACCTCGAGATTCATCCTTTAAAAATAATTTACAAAGTCTTAAATTGAACTACTCCAAAGGTTTACGTTTCCACCATTTATACACAGACCTAAAGCATTAGCTATACATCAACAAAAACCGAAATTTTGCATTCAAAAGCGTTTTGTGAAACCGCTTTGTCTACCTTAACCTTACCAATTCCTTGTTGTTGATGTTGTCAATTTCATTTCACTTCACTTTGGTATACTTGTCTTTTATTATCCCCATTATCACTAATTTTCACTTCATTGACAACATTTCAACTATATTTCACTCTTAAATATCAATTCGTCCCTCCTTATTCATTGACCTATTTAACACGTTTCAGCTTAATTACCACCGTTTTACAATTCTTTGACAACACTTGTCTCTTATCTCATCACTTGTTATCAATTCGTTCCTTAGTCATTATTATTATTATTATTATTATTAGTCTCTTGGGTTCCTAATAGAACATACTGCTTCAGTAGCACATCTCCAGTGAAGTATGTTCTCCGAAATCTTTTGAACCTGGCTCCACGACAGCCCACAACCTCTCATTTCCTCCTCGCACGATCTCCTCCATGTTACCCTCGCCTCCGACGTCCAACTCGTCGCTTTCCATGGGGATTCCACTCTAGCAACTGGCCTGACGCGTGATATCCCCAGTCGGCCTTCTCACTGTATGCCCAACCCATCTCCACTTCCTTCCAGTGCATATTTGTTGAGCGATAAGTTCTTGGTTGGTTCGTTCCCAGAGCTCCTTGTTGCTTATTCTTTCTGGCAATCCATCTGATCTTCAGTAGCGAGCCAGCGTAAGCAGTTGTTGATGAATGTCTGTAGTTTGTTGGAAATCCCTTTCGTAACGCGCCAAGTCTCTCAAGCATCACATAGAAGCACTTACTTGACTGGATTGGTGTTGAGAATCCGGATCTTGTTCCGCATGCTGAGTGGAGTGCAGATCTTCACACTGGTTTCAGGCTAATGAACGCCTGTCTTGTTTTTCCGATTCTGACTTTGACATCTTCGTCTGTACCGCCTGTAGTTGAAATAGTGCTTCCTAGATAAGTGAAGGAGGTTACTTCCTCAGTCATAGTGACCCATTTCCTATCTCTTCCACTTGAACAAATATCACCACCTCCACCGACTGTCTATTTTGCATATTGACTGAGCAACTTTTTAGTGGAATTATCTGTCACTTTACCAAGTACAAATACGATTACTGTATAGCTTGATAATGAAGTCGTTGAAAAGAAATGCTTTTTCTTCTCCGCTGATACATGTCTTGTTTTTGTTAATAATCAATTACATAAGAATAGTTTCAGCAAAGCAAGATGGGATTCAGAGGAGTACAGAGTAATATCAGAAATTACACCATATTGATGGCTATAGTAATGTTAGTGTTTCGACAGATTCCTTTTGCAGGAAAATGTTAAGTTTATAAAAGATGGATTGCTATCCCCTATGTTATGTGAAATAGACAAATATGTCATCTATTTAGTCAACTACTCAGTGAACGATTAATAATTTTGATGTTGTCCAGTGTCAAATGGATATGTAACAGTAGAGCCACATGTCAAGTAGTTCACAATGGGAGGCTCAGTGATGCCTTCGAAGTGAAGACAGGAGTAAAAGGAGGCTGTCTACTATCACCGATCATCTTCCTGATTGTGGTCGACTGGATCATACAACAAACAGTGAGGAGCGTGAAGAGGAAGACACACCAGCTGGACTGAGGAAAAGATCCTAGAAAATTTGGATTTCGCCGATGATGATTTATGTCTTATGTCGCACAGACTCGAAGACGTACAGGCAAAAAGTAACAAGTTGACAGAAGAGGCAGGGCAGAGCAGGGCAGCGAAGATGGGAATTCAAGTGAACGTAGGGAAGACGGAGGTGATGATGATACCCAAAAAACACCACCAACAACAAACTCCAATCACCATCAATGGGAGAAACTTAAACGAAGCAGCCTCTTTCACTCACCCACCTACCAGGTAGCAGCCTCCCAACTACACGTGGCAACACACGCACACGCACAGACGAGGACGTCAAAGTCAGACACGATTGGAAAGACAGCAACACAGGTGTTCATTAATCTGAAACCAGTGTGGAGATCTTCTGCACTCTGCACTCAGTGTGAACAATATCCAGATTTTCAACACGAATTCAGTCAAGTAAGTCAGTGCTTCTGTGTGATGGTTGAGAGACTTGGTGCGTTACGATGGGCATTTCCAACAAACTACAGACATTCATCAACAGCTGGCGCCTACGCTGGCTCGTTACTGATGCTCAGATGGCCAGAATAATAAGAATAAGTAACAGGGAACTCTGTTTGGCTACGAATCAACCAAGAACCTATCAACCAACAAATATGCAGACTAAGAAAGTGGAGACGGATTAGGGATGCATTGAAAAGACCATTCAGGGGCATCACATGTCAGGCACTCGAATGGAGCGCAGATGGGAAATGGCGAGTTGGGCGTAGGAGACGAGGGTGACATGAAGGAGATCGTGTGAGGAAGAGGTGAGAGCTTCTTGGCAGTCGGGGAGCCAGGTTGAAAAGATTGCAGAGTAAAGAGTGTAATGGATACGTGCTACTGAAGCGCTATGTTCCACTAGGAACCCAAGGAGCAAATAATAATAATAACATGGTGCTCTTCACAGTAATAATCTGTTCCATAATGTTCCAAACCTCACCTGGTTAACTAGTTCACTAGTTACTAGCCGGTCCTAAGCCCAGGTAAAGAGGGAAGGTTGGGCATACAGCTAGCAACCCTACCCCAGAAAACGAATCTAACCGCTAAAGAAACTTCAAAGCACAAACAAAATATAAAAAATGAAAACAAAATTATTCCTCGCTCTAATGGGAGAGGAGAAATGACGCCAGTTGGTGAAAGCCTTCGGGAAGCCAATTAGCCGGGCCGATGTATCTTCTCTCGATGAAAGCGAAAGTAAACGTGGGGACATGGAATGTCCGTACGATGTTTGAACCCAGCAAGGCAGCCCAGATTGCAAAGGAGATGAGAAGGTATCACATCGAAGTGCTTGGGATTTGCGAAAGCAGATGGAATGGGAGTGGACTCTCCAAACTGTCAACTGGAGAATCAATAATCTACTCCGATATTGTCACCCAGACGCCAACCATGAGCACACTGAGTTATGGAGTGGCTATCATGAAGTCCTCAAGAGCATCGAAGGTTCTCATGCAGTGGGAACCAATCTCCTCCACCATCAGGATCATGACAGCAAGATTCAACTCAAAAGGAAATAAGGTCACAATCATACAATGCTATGCACCTACAAACAATGCAGAGCAAGAGAAAAAGGAGGATTTCTACAGACAACTTCAATCAACACTGGACAAGACGCCAGTTGACGACATCAAAATTCTAATGGGCGACATGAATGCCAAACTGGGAGGGGACAACACAGGAAGAGAACTAACCATAGATCGAGAGGCGCTCGGTGAGGTGATGAACGAGAATGGAGAATTGTTTGCAGAATTCTGTGCATTCAACGATTTGGTGATTGCAGTGAAGCAGTGTGTTTAAGCCCAAGCATATCCACAAAGCGAGCGACATGGATTTCACCAGATTGACACACTAAAAATCAAATCGACTTTATCTCAATGTGAAGAAAGTGGAGACGCAGCCCACTTGACACAAGGTCAAGAAGAGGAGCAGATGTAGGTTCACACCACTCACTATCTAGTGCAAGGAACCTTCCAAATCAAGTTAAAAGCCTTCAAGGAAGCTGGTGATAGACCTCAATTCAAGTACAACACTCGGAAACTGAAGGATGAAACTACAAAGGAGATCTTCACGGCAGCCATCAAGTCAAAATGGGAGATTTCGAGGAACATCACTGAAGAAACCTGTGTGGAAGAACACTGGAAGTCTTTGAAAGAGATGTGGAAAGAAACCTGCACAGCCGTATTAAGAACGTGGAAGACAAGGAATGGATCTCGACGGATACCTGGAAGCTGATAGAGGAGAGGAGGATGGTGAAGCAGAAGATAAACCAGTGCAAGGACGCTCAACGACAAGAGGAACTGAGTACAATGTATAAAACACTGAACAAAGAAGTGAAGAAGAGTGCACGGAAAGACAAAAGACACTTCTACGAAACACTGGCAAGTGAAGCAAAACGGGCTGTAGGTGGGAGAGACCTGACGACATTGTATCAAATAACCAGGTTGCTATCTGGGAAGAGATCAACACAGATGAAACCAATAAAAGATGATGTCGGAAATTTAATTACGAAAGAAGAGAAACAAAGGAAACAATGGGCCGATCACTTCAAGAAGCTCTTGAATCGACCACCACCTGCACTTCATCCAGAAATACCACATGCAGCCCAGCCATAGAACTACAAGTGAACATAAATCCTCCAACGAAAATGGAAGTCCTGAACGCCATAAAGCTACTGAAATGCGGGAAAGCAGCAGGACCAGATGGGATACCGCCAGAAGCACTGAGAACAGACGCAGAGACAACAGCGGACGTGCTCACACCACTATTGCAGAAGGTGTGGAAGGAAGAGAAGGTACCTAGCCATTGATTGGAAGAAGGGTTACCTTGTCAAACTCCCGAAAAAAGGAGACCTCAGTGTTTGCAAGAACTGGCGAGGAATCACTCTCCTGTCCACCCAATGCAAGCAAAATATTAAGCCGCATCATCCTGGAGAGGCTTAAGGATGCACTGGATTCAAAACTACGACCGGAACAGGCAGGCTTCAGGAAGTACAAATCATGTGCAGACCAAATTGCAACGCTTCGCATCATCATAGAACGGAGCATAGAATGGCAATCAGCTCTCTACCTCAACTTCATTGACTTTGAGAGGGCCTTTGACAGCGTCAACCGAGAGGTAATTTGGAAACTGCTTCACTACTAAGGAGTACCGCAAACCTTTATCCACCTCATTCAACAACTATATGAAGATGCTACATGCCAAGTAATTCACAATGGGAAGCTCAGTGATGCCTTTTAAGGGAAGTGAAGACAGGAAGGATTGAAACAAGGTTGCCTACTATCCCCTATGATATTCCTAATTGTGGTCGACTGGATCATGCAGCAAACAGTGGGCTGCGAGAAGAGGGGGATACACTGGACGACGGAAAAGAACCTAGAAGACTTGGATTTTGCCGATGACTTGTGCCTGATGTCACATAAACTTCAAGATCTGCAGGCAAAAACTAACAAGTTGATAGAAGAGGCAGCGAAGACGGGACTTCAAGTGAATATAGAGAAGACAGAGGTGATGAAGATACCGCACCAACAACTCCAACAACTCCAACAAACTCCAATCACCGTCAACGGGAGAAACTTAAAGGAAGTAACCTCCTTCACTTATCTAGGAAGCACTGTTTCAACTACAGGCGGGACAGACGAAGATGTCAAAGTCAGAATCGGAAAAACAAGACAGGCGTTCATTAGCCTGAAACCAGTGTGAAGATCTGCACTCCACTCAGCATGCGGAACAAGATCCGGATTCTCAACACCAATCCAGTCAAGTAAGTGCTTCTATGTGATGCTTGAGAGACTTGGCGCGTTACGAAAGGGATTTCCAACAAACTACAGACATTCATCAACAACTGCTTACGCTGGCTCGCTACTGAAGATCAGATGGATTGCCAGAAAGAATAAGCAACAAGGAGCTCTGGGAACGAACCAACCAAGAACTTATCGCTCAACAAATATGCACTGGAAGGAAGTGGAGATGGGTTGGGCATACAGTGAGAAGGCCGACTGGGGATATCACGCGTCAGGCCAGTTGCTAGAGTGGAATCCCCATGGAAAGCGACGAGTTGGACGTCGGAGGCGAGGGTAACATGGAGGAGATCGTGCGAGGAGGAAATGAGAGGTTGTGGGCTGTCGTGGAGCCAGGTTCAAAAGATTTCGGAGAACATACTTCACTGGAGATGTGCTACTGAAGCAGTATGTTCTATTAGGAACCCAAGGGACTGATAAATATAAATAATGAACCATGATGGATGGAGTTCGTTTAGTTTCAGTTTGACGATAATTGCATCTAAATAAACATACGCACAAGGCCTAGTTGGCATGAAATACAATTGAGCTTACCTTGTTAAGGCAGTTTTAGGTGATCGCTTCGGTGGTGTTGGTTTTCTTGTTGGCATATTACTCAACTCTAGTTGATTGCTTTTCTCACGCTGAATTTCACAGCAATGCGGACATATCAAAGAGGTATTTACAGCTTGCCCACAACTAGATGTTAGTGTGGTTAGATTAGAATGCTGATGGTTTGTATCAGCTTTGTATCCAGATGATAATGATGATGATGATGATGGTGACATACAAGTGGTGACTGAAGTGAACTTTTGTTCAAATGCTCTTTTGTCTTCACCACGTTGACTATATTCACGGGTATTTATTCGATTCACAGAAGATTTTGACTTGGGACTACGATGCATTTCTTCTACATTGATGGAGTTGCTGAAATATAAAGAAATTATTCCCAGAAAATTTTGGTACCTATATACAGAAACGGAGTGATTTTAAAAACCATCCCATTGACTACAAAGTTATCATTTATGTTCTCTTATTTTACAGAAACACTAACTTTACTACCAAAACAATGTAATCCAGTTGGGGATTTCTGTTGTTGTTACGATTTCCTTAAGAGTCACTCTAGAAAATAGATGTCCTTAGTTCTAGTCGGAATGCTAAGACAATGGGATGTGCATTTGAAATGAAAGAACAGGGCTTTCCTGAAATAATCTTCTACCCAGCTGAATAATTGTCAGCTTGAAATAAATCAATATTCTCTCAATTTATCTCAGTGAGTAGTCTAGACTGATGAACACATTGATCAAATCCTATCACCATTTAAGGCTAGACAATATGAAGTTGGTTACTACCCTCCAGTGACGAATCAGTGTACTGCTGTGCCACTGACTTGATGATTTCATAACACAAGACATATCCCACGAAGGTAACGACGCCCAGATCCCTGAATTCTTTACATATTCTAATTTTTTTAAAATCGATATATTTCAGTCAGTCAATCATACAGTAGAGCAGAGTGTACTGTTTGCTGTACAGAAGTATATACAGTAGTAGATTTGTTCCGGCATGGATAAGTTAGTAACTAGAAGCAAAAAGTTATTGTTTTTTGGTGATTATTTCTCTAACTTGAAACCATTGAAGAAACTACTTCACTAGCTGCTTTATGTTGGGAACCTTTAGAAAACTGTAGAAATTTGTAGATCGAATCCTTTACAAATATAATTTATTTACTATTTATTTGCCCCTTGGGTTCCTAATGGAACATACGGCTTCAGTAGCAGGCCTCCTCTCCACTCTCTCCTCTGCAAACTCTTAAACCTGGCTCCACTACTGCCCACAAGCTCTCATTTCCTCCTCACACCATCTCCTACATGTCACCCTAGCCTCCAACGCCCAACTTGTCACTTCACATCCACGTCCAACTAGAGCAACCAGTCTGGCACCTGGTGTCCCCAATCGGCCTTCTCTCTGTATGCCCAATCCATCTCCACTTCCTTCTAGTGTAAATTTGTTCAGCAATAGCTTCTTGCTTCGTTGGTTCCTTGCCAGTCAGAGTTGCTCCTTGCTTATTCTTACTATTCTGGCCATGTGGGCATCAGTAACGGGCCAGTATGGGCAGTTGTTGATGAATATATGTAGTTTGTTGGAAATCCCTTTCGTGATGCGCCAAGTCTCTCAACCATCACATAGAATCACTGACTTACTTGACTGAATTGGTGTTGAAAATCTGGATGTTGTTCACACTGAGTGCAGAGTGTAGAATATCTCCACACTGGTTTCAGGTCAATGAACATCTGTCTTGCTGTCTTTCCAATCGTGTCTGACTTTGACGTCCTCGTCTGTGCGTGTGCGTGTGTTGCCACGTGTAGTTGAGAGGCTGCTACCTGCTGGGTAGGTGAATGAAAGAGGCTGCTTCGTTTAAGTTTCTCCCGTTGATGGTGATTGGAGTTTGTTGTTGGTGGTGTTTTTTGGGTATCATCATCACCTCCGTCTTCTCTACGTTCACTTGAAGTCCCGTTTTCGCTGCCCTGCTCTACCCTGCCTCTTCTGTCAACTTGTTGGATTTTGCGTGTAGATCTTCAAATTTATGTGACATTAGACACAAGTCGTCGGCGAAATCCAAATTTTCTGGGATCTTTTCACCGGTCCAGCCAGCGTATCCGCCTCTTCTTGCTTCTGACTGTTTGTTGCATGATCCAGTCCACTACAATCAGGAATATCATGGGTGATGGTAGGTGGCAGCCTTGTTTTACCCCTGTCTTCAATCTAGAGCCATCACTGAGCTTCCTATTGTGAATTACTTAGCATATAGTGTCTTTATATAGTTATTGAATGAGGTTGATAAAGGTTTATGGTATTCCATAGTGTTGCAGCAGTTGCCAAATGACTTGTCGGTTTATGCTGTCGAAGGCCTTTGCAAAGTAGATGAAGTTGAGTTAACGATCTAGTTGGCTGCCATTCTATACTCTGTCCTATGATGATGCGCAGCGTAGCGTTGCCATTTTGTCCGCACATGATTTGTACTTCATGAATTCAACCAGCCTCTTCGGGTCGTTGTTTTGAATCCAGCGCATCCTTAGTCTCTCCAGGATGAAATGGCTTAATATTTTGTTTGGGGGGGAAAGAGTTACAAATATAACGTCTAACCAAATCAAAATGATAACTATGCATCTTACAGTCACTATAGGGGAATGTACTTTAATTAAATCTACATACCGTTCACCATTTTGTAAGGGATACAACTAATCATGTCATAAGTTTGTTTTTTCAACATTCTTTTTTGCTTAAAGTTAACAAGTTATACTTTATACTAAACCATCAATACTTACGGACTTGATGACGAATCAGAAACTTTATGAATTCGGTTAAATGTATACAAGTTTTTATAATTTTGTTCATCTATGTCTGATTCACTTGAATAAGGTGTATCATCATTACGTGATGATCGAGGAGGTGGTGGTGGTGGTGGCAGCTTTGTTTGATAGCGTGATGGAGTAATTTCTATAGAAGCTGTAGAAGATGTTACTGGAGGCGGTGGTGCAGGTGCTCTTGAATTACGATAACGTTTCTGTTTTCTATTAATCCGTGTATGATAATGAACATCTGGAATATTTTGTATTGAAGTTGAATAATCTTTGCTTAGTTTTGAAGGAGATGATGAAGAGTTAGCTTCAGTATTAGTGTCAGAACATTTTTGACAAGATGAACAATTGAAAGAATCAGCTTCATGGTTGTGGATACCATCCAGATTTCTTCGTCTGAAAGAAGAAAAAGTAAGAAATTCAACTCCTTCCTTTATTTCCACATGTAAGTAAACGATAAGAGCGTATACAGTAAGATAATGACTAAGTATGCACACTTATGTCTTGAAAGGGAGAATTTGGATTCTGTATTTAGCTGATAACCGAGAGAAGCGAGAAGAAGGGCATACACTGGACCAATGAAAGGAGCCTAGAAGATTTTGATTTCGCAAATGGTGGTCTATGTTTAATGCCTATTCACACAAACTTGACGATCTACAGGTGAAAACTAGCAAGTGGACAGAAGAAGCAGGGCAGGGCAGCAAAGGTGGGATTTCAAGTGAATGTCGAGAAGACAGAGGTGATGAAGATACACAACCAACAACAGCATCAACAACAAACACCAATCATCATCAACGGACGAAACCCAAAGGAAATTGTCTCTTTCACTCATCTACCTAAGAGGTAGCATCCTTCCAACTACACGTGGTGGCACACGCACAGAAGAGGATGTCAAAACCACTCACGATAGGAAAAGCGAGACAGGCCTTCCTGTATTGATCTGAAGTCAGTGTGGAGATATACCGCACTCAGCATTGAGCGTGAACAAGATTCAGATTTTCAACACCAATTTAGTCAAGTAAGTCAGTGCTTCTATGTGATGGTTGAGAGGCTTGGCGCGTCACGAAAAGCATTTCCAATAAACTACACACATTCATCAACAGCTGCCACCTACACTCACTCCATACTGAAGATTAGATCAGATGGCCAGAATAATAAGAATAAGCAAGGAGGAGCTCTGGCTCCCAACGAACCAACTAAGCAAGAACCTTTCACCCAACAAATATGCACAAATAATTGGAGATGTACTGTATTGAGTATACACTGAGGAGGTCGACTGTGGATATCACGCACCAGGTCAGGCTGTGGGGTGGAATCGGAAAGGGGAGACGACGAGTTGGGTATCCGAGACGAGGGTGACATGGAGGAGATGGTGTGAGGAAGAAATGAGAGCTCGTGGGCAGTCGTGAAACCAGTTTCAAAAAAGTGGGCAGAAGACAGTGTAATGGAGACGTGTTAGTGAAGCCGTATGTTCCACTAGGAACCCAAGTGAAAAAAAATATAGGTGATAAAGGAAAAGTATTGATTATGATTTCTATAACAGTTCAGTTCGGAAATCATTTGGGTATACTGTTCCAGTCAGATGATTTGAACTGATTCGACTTCATGAAACGAGCAAAACGGAAGTCCGGTTTTTTAGATTCCTTTGATCTATACTGACTGATGGCTTGTACAGATTACCCTAATTGATTTTTAACTACTCAAATTGCACAATAGTAGTATATTTCTCTAGAAAAATATAATTCATTTCAAACATTTCTTACAAATTATCCTTAAATATGTATAAAGCATAAATAACTTACACGGTGATTGGTGATGAAGACTCTGGAGAACTATGTATACCTTCATTGTCATTGATATAATCTGATTTCGAATAAGCATCATTGTTATGTATCAATTGTTTCATCAACTGAACTTGTTTACAAGGACTTTGTTTTGGTGTTGTCTTATTCGAACTTGTTAATTCACTCATATCAGCATCTTCTTCAGGTACAGTTGATAGAAATGAAGTATCCATTAACAAGGAATTATTATTCATATTACTTATTATACTGATATCAGTAGTATTCAATGAAGATGATAATGAATTAGATAATAGATAATCATCTAATGAAGACAATAATGATGAAGGTAGTATATGTGTTGAAAGTGTATGCGTTGTAAATGTTAATGGAGTATTAGTTGTATGATAATGATGAATATTTATCGGAAGATCAAGAGTTGATTCCGACTGAAGTATTCCATCACCAAATTCATACTGTATTTGATGAAAAGAAAATTGTTAAAGGTTAAATAATAAGAAAATGTTTTTGTGATTTGTGAAAAGAAAATAGTCTGCTGACTGTTATTCCTCCCTCCTTCTAGGATGTTAATTAGACGAAAGCAATCACTAGCAAGCTCCTGGCTTAGATTTTCCGCTTTTTGATATTTAGTAATGATGGGCAGTGTCTAGCAGTGGAATCCAGGATGCACATTTCATCCTATTTAGGACTCATCAGCTGGATGTACCTACCTCCCAGTTTCGAGTGATGTTGTTCCCACTGGGACTTGGACTCAGGAGCGATAGCTTCATACACCAGAGCGTTATCCACTACACTAGTGAGCCACAATAGCCACTTCTTGTGCGATGAGAATAGGTTTAGTGTTATTGCTTGAGATACAAACTATTGTCACTCATTGCTTCTATCCGAGATGTATTACCACTGAGCCATTCAGGTATCTAGTAGCTTCCTGCTGGACTGGAAAAGGTTCATGGATTGGTCAGTTAAAGGTAACCAACTTCATACTTTCTAGTCTTACTAGATGATAGACTTATTTCCATGCTTTCATTCTGCTTTGAAGTTACTAGAGAAGATATACACTGCATAGCTCCTTTACGATTTTTAAAACCAGATGATTCATGCATCTAAGTAAAGTATCTGAGTTGATAAAAGCTTGGTGCTTCGTAGACTAAATCCCCTTTCCTACCTGATACTGTACACCTGACTTCTGTGCTATTCACGTGGTGATCCCATAACACACACTTTATCCCTTGAAAACGCCTGAATTCTTCTCATGTTTCAGCTTTTTAAACAGACATATTTCTAGTTGAAGCAATGAAAAACTGATAATGTTTTATAGGTGAACTATCACATTATAGTGAACAAAAATGCTGTAACTTTCTAGATGTAAACATATTTTGTAATGTTCCAAGTTTTTATACCATTCATTAGGGCAGAAGGAAGAACTGATGTTACAACTAAGATCTGTAAGGAATCACGTTTTTTTTAACAATGATAAGAAGTATATGAATGTTCACCACCGTGAAGAATTCCAAGTCATGTCACCGACACTTTCCCATTATGAATTTTTTACACCCCAAAATAAGCGAAGTCGCATGATCAACATGAATGTGAACAGATCAAAGCTTTCGTCAGCGGCTGTCCATATTTCACTGGAAAATATACTGAATTATATATAAGAATTATTGATGAAGTAATAACTAACCTTTTCATCATATTTTACTATTGAAAGGAAAAATAAAGAGAACCATAACAAATGCTCTTCATCGACATAGAAAAGCCTTCGATTGAGGCGTCGACCTTGAAGTATTTTGGTAGTTGCTTCAACACTACCATTTTAGTCCTACAAACCTTTATCAATCTAATTCAACAACCATTTGAAGACGCCACATGCCAAGTAATTTACAATGGGAAGCTCAGTGACGGCTCTGAAGTGAAGACGGGAGTAAGATAAGGCCGTCTACTATCACTCATGATATTCGTGATTGTGGTGGACTAGATGATGCAGCAAAACCGTTAGGAGCGAGAAAAGGGGGATACACTGGTTGGACGGATGAAAAAATCCTAGAAAAATTGGATTTCGCTGACGACTTGTGTCTAATGTCACACAAACTTGAAGACCTGCAGGCGAAATTCAACAAGTTGACAGAAGAGGTGAGGCAGAGCAGAGCAGGGCAGCGAAGATGGGACTCCAAGTGAATGTAGAGAAGACGGAGGTGATGATGATACCCAACCAACAACAACAAGCAATAATCACCACCAACGGGAGAAACTTAAAGGAAGTTGCCTCTTTCACTCACCCACCTACCAGGTAGCAGCGTTTCAACTACACTTGGCGACACAGGCACAGGCGAGGACGTCGAAGTCAGCCACGATCGGAAAGAAATTAAGACAGGCTTTCATTAATCTGAAATCTGTGTGGCGATCTACTACATTGAACTCAGCACAAAGAACAAGATCCGAATTTCTAACACTAATTCAGTCAAGTAAGTCAGTGCTACTATGTGATGGTTGAGGGACTTGGCGCATTACGAAAAGCACTCCCAACAAACTACAGACATACATCAACAGCTGCCACCTACGCTCATTCTGTACCGAAGATCAGATGGCCAGAATAATAAGAATAAGCAAGGAGGAACTCTGACTGGCAAGGAACCAACGAAGCAAGAACCTATCACCAATCAAATATGCATAGGAAGAGAGTGGAAGTTGATTTGGCTTGAAGTGAGAAGACCATTTGGGGACATAACGCATCAGACACTCGGGTGGAGCCCAGAGGGGAAACAACGAGTTTGGTATCCGAGGCGAGGTTGACATGGAGGAGATGGTGTGTGAGGAAGAAATTAGATCTTGTGGGCAGTCATGAAGCCGGGTTCAATAGATTACAAAGAAGAGAGTGGAATGAAGACGTGCTACTGAAGCTGTATGTTCCACTAGGAACCCAAGGGATAAATAATAATAATAATAATAATAATAATAATAATAATAATAATAATAATGAATGCTTCCTGCTCAGTCAGTTATGTTGATCTGATCGTGGATGGATTTCGACGCATTACGTTTGAAAATTATGCTCAACCACATATGGTATTCTACATTATAACCTGACTAAGTAAATTGGTAATCTGACAGTGACCAGCTTCATTTACTTCGATAAATATCATAAATCAGAGGAGGTTAAACAATTAAAGCTGAAAAGTTCATCAGGTCATGAGTAACTTGGAGGCTGTATAAACCGCAATTTGGTGTGAATAACATTTATAAATTCTGGTTGACAAAGAATTTACCATTATCTGCTTCATTTTTACTAATTACATAAGGCGTACACCTACATTACACCGGTAAACTTTCATTTCATGTTAAATAAATGGAGTCATATAGTGTAAATTACCGATTAAGATCAGATTTTTAAAAATGCAAAGACTCTTTAATGGTTTATCCCTTTATATAAGGACTACGGATTATAATTATATGCAAACACTAGCATTTATATCAAGCACATGGTGTATGAAAACCAATGTATCACTGACTTACCTGGTCAGTCATTGATTGAGGCAAGTAACTATCAGGTGGACAGGACACATTAGGAGCACAGTTACTGTAAAAAAATGCCAAAAAAAACAACAATAACAAAGGTAAACCTAATAAAAAGACTGACAGTGACTGTTATTTTATAAACATAGTTTTTACTACTGAATCATGAATTAAGTAGGCAGCTGCATTCAAGATTAAAATCGCTGAAAGCTAGTTAGTCATATAAAGTACCGTGTTAATCTTTTCGAATTCACTGGAGGAAATCTTATCATCTGTTAAAATCAGCACTGTTTTATTGAGTTCAATAGTCTAACCTGTTTAACCTGAACACAAGAGAAGTTGATTGTTTGCCAGATACAAGTGGTAATCAGATAAGTGCCCCATAATCTAGTTGGACATCTTTGAAATGAAAATAAAGAGTAAGGTGAATAGATGACTCTTAGGTATATACAAAGCAGAGAATAGAAATGGCGAACAATCAGCGGTAATTTTGCTTAACACTTACTCGGAAAAAAAACACACATAGTACAACGTGGACCTTATAAAAGCACCATCGAATATCAACCAGGAAGATTATGAACACACCGAATACGGAACTCAAAACAAAAGCAAATTATTAAAGAAATAATTACAAAGATTTGCACAAAAAAGCACTCAATACCTTCAGCTTACTTTTCAAGAATAGGAAAGAAATAACAAGAAAACTGCTGAGTGATTATTACTGGTTTCAATTCTGAGCCATGTTGGTTGAAAAGATTTTCACCTTATCAAACTTCATGCCTTTCTCGTCAGCTGTATTGTCTAAAGGATTGTTATACCACTGCTTTTCAGTCATGATTTCAGCTTCTACCACCAGCCTAATGATGCGGCTATGCCATATTGTCCAGTAACAGAATATTTATGTATATGTAAATATACATAACAACTATTTTTATTTTTCCCTAGCGTTCCTAGTGGAACATACGGCTTCACTAGCACGTCTCCATTCCACTCTCTTCTCTACAGTCTTTTCAACCTCACTTCACCACAACCTCTCATTTCCTCCTCATACCATCTCCTCCATGTCACCCTCGTCTCGGACACCCAACTCGTCGTCTACCCCTTCCGATTCCACCCCACAGCCTGACCTGGTGCGTGATATCCACAGTCGACCTCCTCAGTGTATATCCAATACAGTACATCTCCAATTATTTGTGCATATTTGTTGGGTGATAGGTTCTTGCTTCATTGGTTCGTTGGGAGCCAGAGCTCCTCCTTGCTTATTCTTATTATTCTGGTCATCTGATCTGATCTTCAGTATGGAGTGAGTGTAGGTGGCAGCTGTTGATGAATGTGTGTAGTTTATTGGAAATGCTTTTCGTGACGCGCCAAGCCTCTCAACCATCACATAGAAGCACTGACTTACTTGACTGAATTGGTGTTGAAAATCTGAATCTTGTTCACGCTCAATGCTGAGTGAGGTATATCTCCACACTGACTTCAGATCAATGAAGGCCTGTCTCGCTTTTCCTATCGTGACTGGTTTTGACATCCTCTTCTGTGCTGTGCTGTGCCACCACGTGTAGTTGGAAGGATGCTACCTCTTAGGTAGATGAGTGAAAGTGACAACTTCATTTGGGTTTCGTCCGTTGATGGTGATTGGTGTTTTTTGTTGATACTGTTGTTGGTTGTGTATCTTCATCACCTCTGTCTTCTCGACATTCACTCGAAATCCAACCTTTGCTGCCCTGCCCTGCCTCTTCTGTCAACTTGTTAGTTTTCGCCAGTAGATCGTCAAGTTTGTGTCAATAGACATTGGACATAGTTCATCGTTGGCGAAATCAAAATCTTCTAGGCTCCTTTCATTGGTCCAGCCAGTGTATACCCATCTTCTCGCTCCTCATGGTTTTGCTGCATGATCCAGTCGACCACAATCAGGAAGATCATGAGTGATAGTATGTGGCAACTTTGTCTTACTCCTGTCTTCACTTCAAAGGCGTCAATGAGCCTTCCATTGTGAATCACTTGGCATATGGCGTCTTCATATAGTTGTTGAATGAGGTTGATAAAGATTTGTGACACTCGGCAGTGTTGAAACAACTGGCAATATATATATATATATATATATATATATATATATATATATATATAACCTCACCTAGGTAACTAGTTCACTTGTTTCTAGCCGGTTCTAAGCCCGGATAAACAGGGAAGGCTGAATATTTGGCTAGCAACCCTACTCCGTAAAACAAATCTAAGGGATAAAAAAACTTTAAAGGATAAAGGAAATATGTAGAAGAAAGTGGAGATGGATTGAGCATACACTGAGAACGCTGACTGGTGACATCACGTGCCAGTCCAGACCATCGAGTGGAAGCCAAATTGGGAAACGATAAGTTGAGTGTCTTAGGTGAGGTTGACATAGAGGAGATCATGTGAGAAAGAAATGAAAGCTTGTGGGTAGTTAAGGAGAAAGGTTCAAAGACTGCAGAAAACAGAGTGCAATGAAGACAGGCATATATTTAGTCATGGTGATTGTATTTAAAAGTCATGAAATATTCACTGGGTTAAGATATGAATACACAGTTGAATACTTGAGCAGAAGTATATAAAGTATGTAAGTATATAAGTATAATATAATAATAATATAATTTAATATAATATAATATATATAATATAATAATATATAATAATATATAATATAATATATATATATATATATATTATATTATATATTATTATATATTATTATATTATATATATTATATTATATATATATATATATATTATATTATATATATATATATATATATATAATATAATATAATATAATATAATATATAATATAATTTAAGAGGAAGTATTTATAAATCTATCGGTTTACTATGGTGATAGCTATAAAAGAAGTTTATCATCTTTACTTAGAGGGTATTATGAAGGTGATGTCAAAATGTCAGTGAATAAGATCTTATGACTGATTTCCTAATGTAATTTTAGTTGTTTGTAACCGATTCATTTATCCATTCATACAATGTACCATTTATTCAGATTGAAAAAGGTTCAAAGTAACTTGGAAAATAATGAGACACGTGATTTTAGTGGTGATTTATAGGTTTTCTGAATGATATTGAAAGCCATCCTATAAACTGTTGAAACAGTTTATTATTATATTATTATTAGTCCCTTGGGTTCCTAGTGGAACATAGGGCTTCAGTAGCACGCCTCCAGTGACCTCTGTTCTCCAAAATCTTTTGAACCTGGCTCCATGACAGCCCACAACCTCTCATTTCCTCCTCGCATGACCTCCTCCATGTCACCCTTGGACGTCCAACTCGTCGCTTCCCATGAGGATTCCACTCGAGTAACTGGCCTGACGCGTGATGTCCCAGTCGGCCTTCTCAGTGCATGGCCAATCCATCTGCACTTCTTCCTGCATATTTGTTGGGTGATAGGTTCTTGGTTGGTTCGTTCCCAGAGTTCCTTGTTGCTTATTCTTTCTGGCAATCCATCTGATCTTCAGTAACGAGCCAGCGTAAGCAGTTGTTGATGAATATATGTAGTTTGTTGGAAATCCCTTTCGTAACATGCCTAGTCTCTCAAGCATCACATAGAAGCACTGACTTGACTGGATTGGTGTTGAAAATCCGGATCTTGTTCCGCATGCTGAGTGGAGTGCAGAAGATCTCCACACTGGTTTCAGGCTAATGAACGCCTGTCTTGTTTTTCCGATTCTGACTTTGACATCTTCATCTGTGCCGCCTGTAGTTGAAACAGTGCTTCCTAGATAAGTGAAGGAGGTTACTTCCTTTAAGGTTGAAACAGTTAGTCAGATTTTAATTTTTTAGTTGGGAGGAAAGTAGTAATGACTAGAAATTCTGAGGTAAAAATTATCTCAGTAACACAACCACATTCCTATTGTATCTTTCTTTAAGTTGTAGAAATTTGTCATTTTATTTTCTATGGTTTCTTTTCACCTTTGTCTGATAACACTTCATGAATGCTATAATAATTATTTTTTTTATATCTTAGTATGTTTCATCTTTCTATATGGTATTTGAATAAGATGACTTGACGTCTGACAATTCAGATCAATATACGGTAATTTTAAGTTCTCTTCACATACTTGTACACCGGAAGTTGTGGTTCATTAGTGTAAGGAGTTGACTTTCAACTAATAGTATACATATGTGATACACTGCCCCACCTACCGATGTTCAGACTGTCAGATAGGTAGTATCAATAGTCTGTACACAATATGTGTGGATTATTGCTTACTGCGCCAATGTGTTCAAGGTTGTTGAATGGATTTTCTTTACTCGCTCCGCCAATACACCCAAATATCTAGTCGTTTGGTAGGTAGTATAAAATTTATAGTCATTTACTAAAATTGGTATCCTCTATCAACTTCAGACTTAAAAATAAACGAGTTATCTTATCATGCTTAATTTTTCGATCAGTCAGTTAGTCCGAAGTAGAACGGATGACAAATGAACATGTTAGATGATTTATTATTACAATTATTTTTCTCTTGGGTTCCCAGTGGAACATATGGCTTCAGTAGCACACCTCCATTTCACTCTCTTCTCTGCAATCTTTCCAACCTGGCTCCACCACTGCACATAACCTTTCATTTCTTCCTCACATCATCTCCTGATTATAACCCTCTCACCCAATGTCCAACTAGTCATTTTCCCTTTGGATTCGACACAACGGCCTGGCTTGGCACGTGATATCCTCAGTCGGCCTTCTCACTGTATGCCCTATCCATCTCCACTTTCGTAGTCTGCATATCTGTAGAGCGATGGCTTCTTACTTCATTACTCCAGTCCACAGTTCCTCCTTGCTCATTCTTTCTAGCCATCTGATCTTCAGTATGGAGTGAGCGTAGGTGACATCTGTTGATGTATGACTGCAGTTTGTTGGGGGTGCTTTTCGTAATGTGCCAAGTATCTGAACCATATAGCAGCACTGACTTGATTGAATTTGTGTTGAATACCCGTATCTTGTTCACGCTCAATGCAGAGTGCAGTAGATCTTCACACGGGTTTCAGATTAATGAAAGCCTGTCTCGTTTTTCCGACTGTGGCTGGTTTTGACATCCTCGTCTGTGCCTGTGCCGCCACCTGTAGTTGAAAAGATGCTGCCTAGGTGGGTGGGTAAAAGAAACAACTTCCTTTAAGTTTCTCCCGTTGATGGTGATTGCAGCTTGTTATTGTTGGTTGGGTATCTTCATCACCTCTCTCTGTCTTATCTACGTTCATTTGTAGTCCAGCCTTCGCTGCCTCTTCTGTCAACTTGTTGGTTTTCGCGTGTACATCTTCGACTTTGTGCTACATAAGACATTAGACAAGAATCAGCATCGGCTAAATCCAAATTTAATAGGATCTTTTCATCGGTCAAACAACCAGCGTATACCCATCTTCTCGCTCCTCACGTTTGCTGCATGATCCACTCGACCACAATCAGGAAGATCCTTGGTGATAGTAGGGTACCAAGCTCAGAACTATTCCAATAAGACAAAACAACCATCTGGTACTATGCAGCTTTTGCTAGCTAGATACTAATCATGATACAAAATGTCTGCTTTCAAATGCAATATCTTATCGTGTACTGCTTATTGTCTACAACTAGATTGGTGGTTTCTCCTTAAAGCAATTAAAGCATATGGTAAATTTAAACAGTGAAATAAGAAAATGAAGATTATTTGAAATAAACGCAACAGTGAACTGACACCATATGTTTTGAACAATCTGATTACACATCAACTGTTCAAACGATTCATATGAAAACTTACGAAAAGGGTCAGTATAGTCAATTGGAATGGGAGAAAACAAAAGTAAAATCTTAATCACATCACTGTTGGTATAAAATCTAAATTCATCATTACCAAAGTAGATTCAAAGGGAGTATAAATTATTTTTTGTACACATAAAAAGGGTTTAAATTTACGGATGGCCTTGACTACTTTGAAGGCTTTCTCATGTCTATCCTATGACTAATTTCTACTATCAGTTTAGCAGTACATGAAGATGGACGTTTGTCACCTGCATTTATCAGATTAAGTTAAGCTATTTTAATTAGATACCAGTTCAACTATCCTAACAAGTTGACAGAAGAGACAGGGCAGTGCAGCGAAGATGGGACTTCAGGTGAATGTAGAGAAGACAGAGGTGATGAAGATATGCAACTAACAACAGCAACAACAACAAGAATCAATCACCATCAACGGGAGGAACTTAAAGGAAGTTGTCTCTTATACCTACCCACCAACCTAGGCAGCATCGTTTCAACTACAGGCCAAGGCAAAGGCACCGATGACGATGTCAAAACCAGCCAGGGTCAGAAAAGCAAGACAGGCTTTGATGAATCTGAAATCAGTGTGGAGATCTACTGCACTGCATTCAGCACAAATAACAAGATACCCACCTTCAACAACAATCCATTCAACTCAGTGATCCTATATGATGCTTGACAGACTTGGCATGTCACAAAAAGCATTTGCAACAAACTACAGATATTCATCAACAGCTGACACCTACACTCACTCCATACTGAAGATCAGATCAGATGGCCAGAATAATAAGAATTAACAACAAGGAACTCACTCTGGAAACGAACCACCGAAGCAAGAAGCTATCACTGAACAAATATGCAGACTACGAAAGTGGAGATGGATTGAGCATACACTGAGAAGACCATTCGGGGACATCACTCGTCAGGCCACGCCAGTCATGGAGAGAGGTTGAAAAGAGTGGAATGGAGGCGTGCAACCGAATTCCTATATCCCATCAAGAATCCAAGGTACAAATGAATGAATGAATGATAAATGATCAACTATCCCTAACTCCTCCCTATATGTTTATGGGCATATGTACATGAAAACTGATAAACACAATGGAATGAGATGAAATCCGTTGTATTGTTTTGGTTGTATGCTTGTCTTTGCCTTCTCCACAAGTATAATTTGTAAACTTCATAAATCAGACTACAATTCTTGACAGCTATTATAAGTTTATCAGCGCAAAAACTACATGGTCAATCTAATATTCACTAAGAAATAATGCAAAATGGTCAGAGAATTGAGCAACAATAAGGAAATTATAATAGTGTGTCCTGATAAACGGGTAAATGTTGGATTAATGAAGTTATCTATCCTCTGTTATGAAACAACAATGATACAATTCATCAGTGAGAAGAATAAGATACTGTAAATTGAAAAACAAATAACTGACATTCTTCAAAAACTAATGATGGATTCTTTCATACATTCCGAATTCTTTGAATCCCTGCCGTCATCTGGGTCAAATATCTACCACTTGTACAGACTGTTATTATTATTATTATAAGTCCCTTGGGTTCCTAATAGAACACAGAGCTTCAGTAACACGTCTCTATTCTACTCTGTTCTCTGAAATCATTTGAACCTGCCTCCATGACAACCCACAACCTCTCATTTCCTCCTCACACGATCTCCTCCATGCCATCCTGGCCTCCGACGTCCAACTCATCTCTTCCCATGGGAATTCCACTCGAGCAACTGGCCTGACGCGGGATGTACCCAGTCGGCCTTCTCACTGTATACCCAATCCATCTCCACTTCCTTCCAGTGCATATTTGTTACGTCATAGGTTCTTACTTCAGTGGTTCGTTCTCAGAGCTCCTTGTCGCTTATTCTTTCTGGCAATCCATCTGATCTTCAGTAGCGAGCCAGCGTAAGCAGTTGTTGATGAATGTCTGTGTACAGACTGTTAGAAGTATAGAATGAAGTAACAAGTTTACGACTTATTATCGACATGATAGGATCGCTTTATCGTCGTATTGTCCAATGTTTAGTAAAAATCTTGTAGCCTATACGAAAGCAAGTCTCATTTCATACATTTCATGACTCTTTTGATTTCATCACTTTCATTGATAATATATATTGGTCTGGCAAAAATTATGTTCCCTCTAGATGTGGTCTCATTATTTACAAACATCCCAACAACTGAGATAATCTGTTTCATGTGTGACTATATTAATTCTAATGGATTAAATTTTTGGATATCCAGACATTATCTGAAGAAGCTGTTGTTAGGATGCATCTTGAACGCCTAATTTTCTCTCAGTAATGAAATCAACAGAAAAAAGGATGGCATAATTATGGGCTAACCATTCAGTCTGTTCTGTGCTTGGCGGCTTGGTTCTATCAAAGCTGGAGAACATGCACGTGAGGAAAATGATCAACCAGTTCAAAATCCGTAAACGATTTATTAATATTTTTCCCTCGGGTTCCTAGTCAAACATACGGATTCAGTAGCAAACCTCCATTACACTCTCTTCTCTCCACTCTTTTCAATCTCACTCCACCACTTCACACAACCCTTCGTTTCTCCCTCACATCATCTCTTCCATGTCACCCTCGCCTCCGACGCTCAACTTGCCGTTTCCCATCTGTGTTCCACTCAAGTGTCTGGAGTGGCCTGACGAGTGATGTCCCCGAATGGTCTTCTCAGTGTATGCTCAATCCATCTCCACTTTCGTAGTCTGCATATTTGTTCAGTGATAGCTTCTTGCTTCGGTGGTTCGTTTCCAGAGTGAGTTCCTTGTTGTTTATTCTTATTATTCTGGCCATCTGATCTTCAGTATGGAGTGAGCGTGGGTGTCAGCTGTTGATGAATATCTGTAGTTTGTTGGAAGTGCTTTTTGTGACATGCCAAGTCTGTCAAGCATCATATAGGATCACTGAGTTGAATGGATTGTTGTTGAAGGTGGGTATCTTGTTATTTGTGCTGAATGCAGTGTAGTAGATCTCCATAGGCTATGTCAATCGCTCTTTAAATGATTCTGAGAAGTAGACATTCCTCTTTGAGAACACTTACTTTCAAACAGTGCATAATATTTGCATGTGCTGATAAATTTCAACGAGTAGCCATTTTGTAACATTGATTTTACCATTTTACCATCAAGTAAAGGAGTTCCAAAAATGAAACCGTCTTCTAGATGATCAATACCACATGTAATACTCGATTAACAAAGATAAAGTATTATGAGATAGGAGTAAGGTATTCATGACAATACTTCCATAAATGTGAATAGTTACTTACTTATACGTTATATTTTCTTGTGGTGCATCTTGAGAATGATCAGGACGGTTGTATTTACTTTCATCTACATCAAATATTCGTTTCTTCATCAAACTAGAAACTCCAGTGGTTTTATTCTCATCTTGATCATTGATATCTGTAATCTGTGAAAAGAATATTATGAAAATGTTTGTTTATTTTTGGAGAAATTTACAATAAGGAAATCAACTGGATTGACTTAACTTGAAGTTGGTTATTGGTAAAGTTCAACAGAGACTCTTACAAACATAAAAAATACCAGGGAATAAAAATAGTTGTCCAATTAAACCAGTTCATTTTGCTTGATAAACTACTAGTTTTAACTATGCATAGAGAGGAATGACAACTGACTTGTGAAATATATGATGATGACGTCGTTTAGTCTTGTGATGAGATGTTCAAAAGAGAAAAACTCAAAGCTTGGCGAACACTAAACACTTATCCTTACTGTTCTGCACTGGAATTAGTTTCCACTACCTCTAACAAAAGTCGAAGTCCCAAGCGCCATAAAGCTACTAGAATGCGGGAAAGCAGCAGAACCAGATGGAATCGCGCCAGAAGCATTAAGAGCAGACGCAGAGACAACAGCAGACGTGCTCACACCATTATTGCAGAAGGTCTGGAAGGAAGGGAAGGTACCTACAGATTGGAAGAAGGGCTATCTTGTCAAACTCCCAAAGAAGGGCAACCTAAGTATTTGCAAAAACTGGCGAGGAATCATGCTCCACACTTGTCCACCCCAAGCAAAATATCAAGCCGCATCATCTTGGAGAGACTAAAAGACGCAGTGGATTCAAAATTACTACCGGAACAGGCTGGCTAGATTCAGGAAGTAGAAAACATGTGCGGATCAAATTGCAACCGTACGCATCATCATAAAACAGAGTATAGAATGACAGTAAACCGTCCATCTCAACTTCGTCGACATTGAAAAGGCCTTTGACAGAGTCAACCGAGAAGTAATTTGGCAACTGCTTCAACACTACGGAGTGTCACAAATTTTTATCAACTTCATTCAACACCGGTTATATACTATATGATGATGGTACATGCCAAGTGATTCACAATGGGAAGCTCAGTGGTGCGACCGAAGTGAAGACGGGAGTAAAACAAGACTGCAACCTACCATCACCCATGATATTCCTGATTGTGGTGAACTCGATCGTGCAACAAACAGTGAGGAGGAGTGAGAAGAATGCGATACGCTGGACTGCAGAAAATAACCTAGAAGATTTGAATTTCACCGACGACTTGTGTCTAATGTCACACAAACTCGAAGATCTACACGCAAAATCCAACAAGTTGACAGAAGAGGTGAGGCAGGGCAGCAGAGATGGGACTTCAAGTGAATGTAGAGAAGACACAGAGAGGTGATGAAGATACCCGTAAAAAAAAACACCAACAACAAACTCCAATCACCATCAATGGGAGAAACTGAAAGGAAGTAGCCTCTTTCACTCACCCACCTACCAGGTAGCAGCCTCTCAACTACACGTGGCAACACACGCACACGCACACGCACAGACGAGGACGTCAGAGTCAGATACGATTGGATAGACAGCAAGATAGGTGTTCATTAACCTGAAACCAGTGTGGAGATCTTGTGCACTCTGCACTCAGCGTGAACAACATCCAGATTTTTCAACACGAATTCAGTCAAGTAAGTCAGTGATTCTATGTGATGGTTGAGAGACTTGGCGCGTTGTGAAAGGGATTTCCAACAAACTACATACATTCATCAACAACTGCCCACACTGCTCGTTACTGATGCTCAGATAGCGAGAATAATAAGAATAAGCAAGGAGGAACTCTGACTGGCAAGTAACCAACAAAGCAAGAAGCTATGGTTGAACAAATATGCAGTGGAAGGAAGTGGAGATGGATTGGGTGTAGAGAGAGAAGGCCGACTGGGGACATCAGGTGCCAGACCAGTAGCTGGAGTGGGACGTGGATGGGAAGCAACGAGTTGTGCGTTGGAGGATAGGGTGACATGTAGGAGATGGTGTGAGGAAGAATTGAAATGTTCTGTGCAGTCATGGAGCGAGGTTCGAAAGAGTGGGGAGAACAGAGTGGAGAGGAGGTGTGCTACTGAATTTGTATGGTCCATTAGGAACCTGCGGGAAAAATAATAATTATAATCCAATACCTAGGTAACACTGAGCTATTCAGTTTGACTAGAAGGTTTGGGAAACTATTTAATTGAAAGCAGTGTGGATGGCAATTTATTTCGTGACTGTACTGAATAAATATACCTGAGAGATATGAATCGCCTGGTTTCAAGTAAACTAAGCACACCTTCATTATTTATTTTTAGAATCGAATTTATCAAGTATTCATCATATTGAATATCACTTGAAGGCCAGAAGTTGGAAATGGTAGAACTAGTTGAAATTTTATCTATCATTGTGTTTCTAGGGGAAACAATGTGACTTAGAAAAAATACACGTGAAGTGATCACTGTATTCGATTTTAAAATGCTCATTCAATCACCTCCAATAGATGTCTGGTAGAAGATATGACTAAAAGTGATAATATTTCTTGAATGAAAAGAAAATTTAAGTGAAATTCATGTCAGTTAAACAATATCCCATCAAGAACATTTAAACTTACTAAGAAATACTCTAATTACTAGATACAGTAAGGTGGATAACCTTGCCTGATTTACTAGACGCTCCCAAGCCTGGATAAAGAGGGAAGGTCAGGCATAGGGCTAGCAACCCTACATTGTAAAACCAATCTAATCGCATAGATGAGAACGTCAAAGCTAGAATAAAAAAGACAGGAAGACAGGCCTTCCTGCATTAATCTGTAATCAGTGTGGAGATCTACAACACCGAACTACACTCCACTGCACTCAGCGTAAAGCCTGAACAAGATCCAGATTCTCAACACTAATTCAGTCAAGTAAGTCAGTGATTCTATGTGATGGTTGAGAGACTTGGCGTGTTACGAAATGGATTTCCAACAAACTACAGACATACATCAACAGGTGACACCACGCTTACTCAATACCGAAGACGGAGATCAGATGTCCAGAGAGAATTAGCGACAGGAAACTCTGTCCTGTCAACGAACCAACCAACGAAGCAGAAGCGATCGCCCAACAAATATACGGAATAAGAAAGTAGAGACGGACTGGATTGGAAGACAGTCTGGCAACATCACGCACCAGGCCAGACCCTCATGTGGAAAGCAAATGAGAAAGAATGAGTTGGGCGTCTGATGGTGACATGGAGATCGTGTGAGGAAGAAATGAAAGGTTATCGGATGTCTTGGATCCACGTTGCAAAGACTAGAAAGAAGAGAGTGAAATGGCGATGTGCTACTGAAGCCGTCTGTTCCACTAGAAATCCAAAGGACAAATAATATCAATAACAACGGTAAGGTGGATAGTAAGCGTCAATCGCTCTTATTAACTAAGTTAATGAAAGTAAAATTAGAAACGACCGCAGTTCTTGAAGTAACTTACAAAAGCAGATAAAGGTCACTAAGTTACTGTCATTATAAGTTTTACTTGGTAATATCAAGAGTAATAAAGCCATGAGGGTAACATTTTCAATATATACTCATAAACTCATTCGAAGTTGCAACACTTTGCAGTACTAAACAGAGAACAAATGGTTAGGAAAAAAAAGGTATCAGAGAAACGTTTGTCAGAATATTATTGAAAGTTCTGAAAAGTTCAAAGACACTGAAGGATGTATACATTTCGGACATATCGGTGTATTTTAAGCTATGTCACCAAATGTCACCAACCATTGATTGTTCTTATTTCAATAACCCTAAAATCAGACTAAAATAATCACACATTTCATGGATTACTGCCAACATTACCGTCTTACTATCTTTAACTTTTGTTCAAACCAATCCTACTTCATTTGCATTAGAGGTGGCAACTTTATGCATGAAGCAAATGTTTAAGCAATATCAGTCAATGAAAGTTCATAGTTTCGTCAACTGGCTCATATTGTTTGCGTAGTACCTAACTAACTGATAACTTCACGCTGGAATTCATCATGGAATGACATCAGTTAATGAAACATTAAAAACCTGAGAACACTGAGCAACCGTTACTTTTAAAAATTGTGTGATTCCTCAGCAGTGCGCACCTACAACCTCACTCAACAAAGATCAGACTTAGAACCTAGTGGCTCAATGTTGACCTTCCGATCACTGAACTTAAAGGTCATGGGTTCGATCCTTGGTGGGGCATGGTCGTGAGTGCCCATTACTGAGGAGTCCTATAATGGTCGATGAAACAGCTGTTCAGTGCTCCATAGTTTCCAATGTTCCTCCAATTGATGTCAATTCATGATAAATTTCAACCTGAATTCTTATATTGAATGAATATATTTTTTATATGAGGAATAAAATCAGTAGTATCGTTATGATTGTGATTGTACATTTCATATTACGTCACACTTCAACACTTCTGTCAAGGTTTTTGAAGCTGACCCTAATTTATTTAAAATGAAATGATCAGTTCAGTTCTGAAGGTGAAATGATGACTTGAATTTCGGTGGTATTCATAACTTGCCTCCTTTAAATAGTTAGACGGCTGTTGAAACTCACCAGCCTGATAGATAGTGTTGTAGTGTATTATATGATCGATGGTCAATTAGGGTATCCATTAGTAAACACCAAGACATATGAATATGCTTGATTAGTTCGAGACAAGACGAAAAATGTCTTGATGAGCTACTATACTGGTAATCTTCATAGATTAGTGGTGATTTTTTCATTGAATGTAAACTGAAAAGTAATCGAAAAGGAAGTTATATATAAGAAAGAATATTTACAGTATAAACTTTCTACTTCTTGTAGATACTGTTGACTACTGGTATTCAGTACATTACGGTAAATTCAACAATAGACACGTAGATGAATGGATAGACAGATATATGGGCAGACAGTCGAGCTGACCAACATGGAAGGTCTCACTTCAAGTCGCTACACTTAACAGTAGCATAGGAAAAAGAAGTGGTTAGAAAAAGAAAGGCATTGTCTTTACTACAGAAGCCAGGCAGTTTACTCTTCCTTAAATGACGTAAACCAATAGCCGAAGACTTTTTGAATTGCTGTCATGTCTTAAAGTGATCACCCTCAGTCTCGTTCTAATCTATGC